GGAGTATGCCGCTGAGACACATTACGATCCGGCCGTAATGACCACCATACGAAATGACCACGTCGCTTTGTTCTCTTCAGAGCAAAAAGAAATTGACGACATCGTCCTTGAAAGCGTTGGGCTCAACCAGGGTAAAATGTTTTTCTTGGATGCTCCTGGTGGAACAGGAAAAACATTTGTTACCACTGGCATACTTGCAGAGGTCAGGAGGCAAGGCAAAATTGCCATTGCTGTAGCGTCGTCGGGAATCGCTGCTACACTACTTCCTGGTGGCAAAACGGCACATGCCATGTTCAAAATTCCCATCGACTTAGAGAGCACCGAAACTCCTGTTTGTGGTGTGTCACGCAACAGTGACAAGGGACACGTGCTAAAGGATTGCTCTCTGGTCGTATGGGATGAGTGCACGATGGCGAATAGGAAGGCAGTTGAGGCCGTGGATAAAACCCTGCAGGACATCCGCAGGAACGAACACTTGATGGGCGGTATTACAGTTCTGTTTAGTGGTGATTTCCGACAAACGCTTCCCGTGGTAACGCGGGGATCTAGGGCTGACGAGGTGAATGCTTCGTTGAAACGATCTGCGTTATGGTCACGCGTTCATACGCTGCGCTTGACCATCAATATGAGAGCTCAGCTCGGCGCCAATGCACGCGCTCAAGAATTCTCTGATGTCCTTCTAAGTCTCGGCGACGGTACTCTACCAGAGGAGAGGGGCGGACAGGTGGTGCTCCCAGAATCTCTCGGTAGAGTGGTATCCACCTTAGATGAACTCATTCGCTGCGTGTACGGGGATATCAGTCGAATACCGCACCAGCCGAATTCTTGGGCATGCGAGCGGGCCATTTTGACGCCTAAAAATGATCAAGCTGCAGCAATCAATGAAAGCATTCTCTCGGAAATTGAGGGGAATGAAGTGGTGTACACCTCCATAAACACCGTAGTCGAGCAAGATGACGCCACACACTATCCGGTGGAATTTCTCAACTCCCTCACAGCAAGTGGACTTCCAGCACATAACATCAAGCTGAAGGTTGGCGTCCCGATCATGCTTCTTCGGAACCTGTCTCCTCCGAAGTTGTGTAACGGGACCCGCCTTAAAGTCATCTCACTGCATAGAAATATTATCGAGGCGGAAATTTTGACGGGTTGTGGCGTAGTGTTTATACCACGCATTCCCCTCATACCTCATAACTACCCCTTCCAGTTCAAGCGCGTGCAGTTCCCTGTGAGTGTTTGCTTCGCGATGACTATCAATAAGTCACAGGGACAGACACTGAAGGCTGCGGGTGTCGACCTAAGGACGAGCTGCTTCTCACACGGACAACTGTACGTCGCTTGCTCCCGCGTCACCAGTCCTGACTCTCTATACATTTTGGCTACTGAGAGCAAAACTGCAAATGTAGTTCATAGAGAAATTTTATAATTGTGTTCCTTTAAATTCTGTTATTCGTGGGATGTAGGAATTAAACCATATTCAAAATTCACCTGCGCTATGAGAGGTACTCATGAGGTGAAGTTATACTGCAGCGCCAACTGCAAGGGAATGTGATCTTAAAAGTTGCTCACTAAAAAACTACACTTAAAATGACGCAGGCATAGTATTTTTGGTGCTTCACGGCGTCCGCGCGGACGAAGTCGCGGGCAACAGCTAGTAGGCAAATAAACTTAGATCATCTGACTTCGCAAGATCATCAACTACGCTAGCAACATAATCTAGATCCTACAAAGGCCACACAAATATAAATCGTAGCGTATGATGGCGCGGGCGGTATCTGCCGTGATTCATAAGCTCTCATTACTGACACATGGCGGCGTAATAGCTCGATTGATTTACGATACCGCTCGATTTAATCGTTGCGTAATCGAGTATCGAATGTAGCGATACTCTTGACGCTCCGACTGTATCGTCCTTTTATCCACTAACACGTCTCGCTGTGGGAGAATTAAATGATGATGATTTTGCGTTACGCTTTTATGAAGTGTATCTTATTCTTGATTTATCATCATATCATCTATGAGTCGACCACTGCTAAACCCGAAGAGCCCGATAGGATAATTCTTCATAATGATCTGCCCAAACACTTTCGAACATTCCAGCAAATTGGCATTTTGTCTTTACTCATAAAAGCTTAATTAACCTCAAAACTAAACTGATATTGTTTCAAACAAATTTTTCTTTGTAGTTCCATCTTCCGATCTTGCTAATTTTAGCATTTGTAAGAATATGAAGACAAATGGTCGGGAACGTGTCTGCAGGTGGTAGTCGCGTGCGTACTATCTGTTACACAGACGAGAGCGGCCTTTTAACATTATCTACGACCAGGGACAACTCGTATTTGTTACCAACTACTTCATTGCTATCGAATTCCACACGCACATTATAAGTACTAGTTTCCAATTGATATAATGTTATTTAAATTAATAAATGGTACTTAATGCAGTTATGTCCTGGGAATATTTTTATCCTACCTACTTAACATATTCTCTTAGTTAGAACTTAATACATGAACTTCTATAAGTTCCAAAATGTATTCAAAAAATACAAAAATGTTCACCCCATCCAACCAATTTGCTTTTTTCAACTTCGTCCCACTAGATGATATCTTTTCTATTAAAGATAAAGCCGTTAAGAAGAAAATTGTTATAAACTGTAAACTTAATATTCTTATATTTAACTCATGACAAATCTCGTTAACATAAAAGTCAACACCATCCCAAGCAGTTCCTCAACTACCTCATCCTCATCACCTATTCCATTCTATTGAACAAAACCTCATCGCATCGCTTATCGTTCCAGTAATCCACGTTCAACCATTTTGTTTTTATTCCTTCGACCAGGATGAACGTCTAAATCCGTTGTCAGTTCGTTTGTCACCGCAGCGACAGGCAACATGCCCGCCGATAACACTTCTTGTTTATTGTAACCGTTTTGGCAGTTGGGTGATGGTTTATCAGTGTTTCTTTTACGGTACGAATCATTTGCATATCGTATTTCTGGGTATTTTGTACCTTTTCATTTGCTTTTGTTTTGTGTGTAAGGTTTGTAGTAGTATTGATGGAGGAGAAGTGAGGTTTGATACGTTTGTATTTGTTGTAAATAAGAGGTTTGGTCTTTTTTATCATGTCATCAATTGGTTATCTGTTTCTGCAATTATTTTTATTTTACAATATCACTAAATTATCTATGTTTTACTGCGAGAAAAGACCACTTTTTATTACCTACGCTTTAGGTTTCTAATATAGAGAAATACGTCGAAATACTATCTAATATAGAGAAATACGTCGGCGTAAGGTCTTCGACACGACGCGCGACGCCACATTCGGCACGGGCCAACCGGCCGGTAATTATTTTAAGTGTCAATAAATAATAAAGTCGGCCGCGCGCCGTTGAGTGCCCGTCCATCTCTCTTATCTCAATTCTTAATGCGCCTCTTTGCTCGTTATTCTTTTTTCAAAACCTTTTTATTTCCTTTTTCGTTTATGTCATCCAGTGGAGAGGTTAAATTCTGTGTTGACAGCATGAAGGTTTTATGTTTTAATCTGGGCTTTATGGGCGTTTAATCGGTTGTATTAGAAAGAGTACGTCGTCGTTTATTTCTTGTTATAAAAGCTTATCTATTTTATGTCCGCTGATGGAGGTAAAGCCGAATGTGTTGTATTGTATATTAATATATTCAAAGTAAGGCATAGCTGTTGGTTTAACTGTCGAGTAATAAAGCGTAGGTAAGATAGAGTTGACTAAAATTAACAATGCGATCTAAATAAAGTTGATATAATAAATCAAAATGTAACAAGTGGACATGGTTTTGTTGTGTTTGGGAACACAGCGGTCCATCGATCACGGCGCGTTCGACTCTGGATTTATGTTACGTAATTGCGGTGCGTGCGCGCAGCTTGTGCGCACAACGAGCGATGCCTTCGACATTATGTTGTTTTTTAACGGTTAATGTCTTGATATCTCTGTTAATGTGGCAGCCAAGTGCAAGTTTATTATTATTCGCATTGAGTAATTCTTTAACACTTTCAATAAGTTTAATGTAAATGACAACTAGTGGGTGGATTGAGCTGTCTATCAAATGAAGAGACTATTGAAAAATATAAATATTACGGTGCATTCTTTAAAGTATTGTATTCTTTCATTGGTCTCGTGTAGGTATGTCTTTGCTAAGCTGCTGGTTTTCTTAGCAAAAAGGTATCTGCATTAGCAGAAGTACTTTTCCAAAAGTAATTTTAGTAACGAAAATATTAATTTTCGTTACTAAAAGTACTTTTGGATTCAACATACATCATCACAGGCTACAACCATCAATTAGACCAAAGATCTTCCTTCCTCTTCTTTAGTAGGTAATTAAAATTCTACTAAAAGTATGAGGGTTCGGTTGTTGTAACTGTTTCACTTAAAAACTACCGAGTAGAGTTTTATGAGGATTGGCACTGAGATTAATCGATTACTGTCTGGAATAGGACAGACACACAACACAACAATTTGAAGCCGCTGTCAGAAGTTGGTAAGTAAATACATTTTAGCAAATTTGGTGAATATTTGAAACTTTGTAAAAACACACAAGTTTAAGAACAGGCCAAGGTTACGAGACGAAGTTCAGTTGCGGTTACACTACAGTACGATCCGTACAGCGCCGGGGTTAAATTAGTGTAATCTTTGCCACAACTCTGTCAAGGTTGCCAATTATAAGTTTATACCTACGTGGTCATTATTGCGATTGAGTTCCACGGTTTTAGAGGATATTCTAAGTGCTTTTGTGAATGTCGTTTTTCTAAGTGTTCATAAATATAAATATTTTTCTATTTATCTCATTGTTATAGTAGGGCTACTTTCTTTTCTTAGATAGAGGTAGGCACAAATCTCTGAAAGGCTTCAAGGGCTTAAGGCATATTAAATGAGGTATCTAAACGCCCACCCAGTGTCCCCGGGGACGACTGTGACACATTGATCACATGTACAGCAAAGTTCAAGGGACACGCTAATCTCTCTAGGGATGAGCCGAAATTGGAATTGCACCATTGGGGCTCTGGAGCAGGTCTGTAAGAGTACCTGGTGCCATGTAAACGGTGCTGCTGATGAGGGTGGTCACCGAGGTAGTTTTAGTGACGATCAGAATCACACACTCCCTATAGAGCGAGCCCTTCGAGAATTTCCTCCACAATAAAAAAAATGAAAATCTCAATTTACCATATTGGTAATCTGTAACATATTAAGTCATGTATTCCAACATCGAGGTTTAACGAGGCAAATTACTTCGAAGTTGACTGGTTAAAAGTTTAGATGTATATAACCTAACTTTACGATTTATTTCATAACCGCTAATAAACGAAAGCTTTATGAAATATTGCAGCGGTTCTAAACAAAGCTAGGGTGCAGCTGCGTTTAGTAATCTTACTAATGAGAGGGGACATCTCTAGCGCTGCGTTGGTCTGTTATTAGCGCGCCGCGTGGCGCCACCGCAAGCGCCTTGTCATTTCACCTGTACTTGTACTGGGTAGACGGACGATAACGATTTAAAACCTCCTTGGTCTTACCCGACAGTTTCTTGTCATCTGTTTTTGGTGATGATGATAATCTGATCAAAATTTCATGTGTTCGAATGGCCTAACTTATGTAAGAAGCGGACATAATTCAAAGATCTTGATTTTTTTTATTTTGCCGATTTGAATAATGTTTTCTTGAAAAAGACACTTCATCTGGGTAGTGCGAATTATTATTATTACTAGCTTAGCTTACCGTAGCTTAAAGCTTTGTTTTGCATTATTCTTATCCTGCCTCTCATTCAGCCGGGGTTGCGGGGCTAGCGAAATAACTAACCGTGGCCTCGGCCTAAAGCAGGACATCTCCTGCGTCCCCGTTCCATCGAACGGGGAGGGTTTTTGGCCAGTAAGAGTCTGACATTCTCGCTTCACCCTGGGCGAGAGAAGACATTTAATGATTTTCCCCTCACAAAATAAAAAGTTACCCAAAATGTGCACACGATGGCATCGATGCGATTTTCTTTTCTTTCTTTCTTTCACACATTTTTGTGTTCATCTTAGCCGCTGTAAAGTAATATCAAATCAAGTCTTTGAAATGATATTCTTTTTGACAGAAACGACGGAGTTTATTTATTTTTATTAATATATAATATTATTTGTACGTCGTAAGTCTGCAGTCTGCAAATGTCTTGTTACGAAAGATGTTTTTCGGTGGGCATTGTCGGTGCAGTTAGATCTCAACGCTCACCAAACTAAACTCCCTATAATCCTTTTGTTTTGTATTTTCTCTCGATACTAACTGTTGCTTCGGTTGCGATTGTAAATCTTTGTGCTGTTATTGTGTTCTTGCCAATAAGTTTTGTTTTTGTACCTATAACTTAGATAAGTACGAAGTATGAAGGTCTACTGATATTTTCGACGGGCATCTTGCAGCATTTTCCCAGCTCCTCATTTGTTTTCAAGACCTCGTAGTCTGTTGTCTATGGAATCACTACATAGTATAAAACAAAGTCGCTGTCTCTGTCCCTATACCCCTATGTATGCTTAAATCTTTAAAACTACGCAACCGATTTTGGTGCAGTCTTGTTTAATAGATAGGTAGAGTGATGGACGAGGAAGGTTCAATAGTGGAGAAATTTTATGTCAACGTTGCAACCCTGCTAAGCCAGGGTTGGTCGCCAGCTCATTCTCATAACTTTACAAGTCTGCTGTTTATTTCTCAAGAAGAAGAATTTTGTTGAATTGTTTGATAATTTGCCTGTCAAAACAGAAAGATGGTTAATCTTTCGTAATATTTTTCTGGTAATGGTAGGTTTTGCAAACAGTAACTTTGAATCCGTTTAAATACTTTTGCGTGTCGACAGAACAATTAAACATATCGATTCTCGGACCTCGAAATAATCGTTTTCAATTATTTTTATATAAAAATATAAACATCTTCTATTTTTATTGCAGTTAAAGGCATTTACCGTCCTAGTTTCAGCGATGGCGTAATAGTTTTTGTAATTCCTATAATTTTAACAACGCAAAGTTTATGCTATTAGTATTAAATATAAGGTTGTGAATCATCCACATTTGCGCGGATCAAGATTACTTGTAGTGATCATTTAAATAATGACCCCAATACGATAGGCGAGGTTTAGCCTCAGGTTCTGTAAACTATGCTTTAAAGGCTTTGCATATCATTATTATTTAACTTCAACAAAGCACTGAGCTTTGCAGAACAGTAATAGCTTTGATGTGTTGACCTCTTTTTTTTAGAATTTGTATAACTAACAACCGTCTATTTAAACCAATGTCTGATTTAAAATCGCTAATAAAGAAGTTGAAAAACTGCGTATGATTATTTTTTACCTTCAACAAAGCAAAATAAATTGCTATGATATGTCGGCTATTTCTTTCTTTTTAGTACTATCTCTTTAGAATTTGTGTGCGTCTAGTTCTTAATCACAACTAAAGACAAGATTCGTTTAACTAAATATCAAAATTCAAAATGCAGGAAGTCCATGCTACTCGTTACATGAATTTCAACGGGTAATTTAAAACAGAGTAACAGAAAAGAGACGTCATAATATTAATCGATTTTTTACTTATGTTACCATCTCGAAAGTCTTTGATTCTTTGTGACTCGATTCGATATGTAATCGATTCTTAGTAAAATGAATAAATACACGGAATTTCAAGTGATAGCAATGTTTGAAGGACGAGGTGCAACAAGCCCGTGTCATCGGTAATTATGCTGCGCCCTGACCCCTCGCGTACCGTCGTCAACACAAGTGCAATCGATATAAACAATTTTACGTCTAGTCGTGATAGTCTAAGAATTCCTCTTTTTTGTCAAGATCTGATAGCAAAAAGTTGGTTTAATTTCGGGCTCGGTCCCAGGGTAGGATACTAGATAGGATAAGTGGTTAATTCTCGCAAGGAACAATTAAGTACTGGTGCGATTTCAAAAGTTTTGTATGATTTATGCGAGTGTTGACATAATATCTAGAACTAATTAACGCATCGTTTACTACAGCCAGCTCAGTGTCAGTAATTTCCTCTATTAGGTACCGCTAATGCATTGAAAGGGTTGATTTCACTCGACTGTCCCTTACAATTTCCAAAGAAAAAACATTTCTTTCTAAAAATATCTTAACCTGACAATACTGAACTAACAACAAAAAATTAATAAGCTATAATTAACCCATTATTTTCACGTTGTTAACACTGTCAACATTAACATTCAGCCTGGGTTGCGGGGTAAGCGCAATGAGGCACCGCAGAGCAGGAGAAGAAACAGGGGAGTTTTAGTCAGTAAAAGTCTGACACTCCCTCCCGCCCGGCCTTGGGCGGGAGAAGTCATTTGATGATTTTCCCCTCACAAAAAAAAAAACACTGTCAACATTAATCGATTCTTTAATCCTCATTATATTATAGAAATATTGCTAATGTCCCTGCTTCATACGTAAAACTCCATAATAAAATAATAAAGTACTTAGTCTATAGTTTTAATAGAATAAGTTCATATTTTAGTAGTCGGTTGTACATCACGTAGAGTGGCAAGCGTCTAATAGCTCACGTAACACACGTCTGGAGCCAGCAGCTGGTGATGAGGTGGCGTCATACACCGTTTAGCAGAACCTCGCCTCACCTCTGACTGCTCGGTCAAACTGTAGCCCGTGTTATATGGTTTAATGTGTATCGAACTTATATAGGAAGGTAAGGAACTAGTAAAGGATTAGAGACATATTTTGAGGAAAAAAAGATGGATAGGAATTTTGTTTTCAATATTGTCAGTTTTTTTGTGAGGGGAAAATCATTCTATAACTTCTCCCGCTCGAAAGGGAGTGTCAGACTCTTACTCCCCGTTCCCTCTCCTGCTCTAGGCCGAAGCCGCGTTGCATTTTACGCCCACCATGCAACTGTAAGCAGGGAATGTTGTCAGTGTGGTAGAACTTCTATCAGACTTCTATCACAGAATTCTACAATTGTACAGTCTGCACGGTTATTTGCAGTGTGTAACCATTGTTTGGTTACTGATCCGCGGCTGTAATAGATATAACTTCTTTTAAAAAAATATAGAAAAAGAAGAAAGAAAGAAAAAGTACCTATTTATTCGCGTTTAGGACGCACATATAATTTGGTGTTGCAATAGCTACTGTCTCTGTACTCCCAATCATTGATACTAAAAAACTGCGACTTTATATCAACAAAAGTATTAAAGTTGGCACAGCATTGTAGGAATTACATATTCTGTAGTTAAAACACATTTAACTTTTGGTGTAGTTAGTAGTAGAATACTCCTTAACCCGATTAACTCCTTAATGCAATCTATGCGGGACACAATTTATTTCTTATTTTAGCTTATATGTATACCGGCAGACAAGCGGTTAATCATGTAGCGACTTCAACGGATAATGGAATAAATTTTACCTAATTCAAGTATCCAAAGCAATTACCTACTTAATATTTGCCTAGTTAATGCTCGTCTAGTTTTAATGGTTCTCATCAATCTTCCCGTGCGTCAACACTCGCGCATGAGGTGATGAGATGACGTCACAACTGCTAAGCAGCCAGCCGCTAATGAGAGATGAACGTAATTATCTTCCTTAGATACGACTATTTTGATAGTTATTAGGCAGTTTGTGTTTTTGTGGCCAACTAAATTAACTCACATTAATGTTCGTAGCTTCTTTAATGACCAAAAGTTTGACTAATAGACCGGGACTTCATCGCAACCATACTTACAAGTTGAAACAAGTAATCTTCTTAATAATAGTTTTTCTTGTCGCGTCTCTCATTTAAGTATCATTCTACCTCAGTGATTATCAATTGCTGTCGTTGGAGTGCGGGATTTCGAGTTGGGGAGACTTATTTATTAAGCACGGATCTATCACTACACCTTGTGATTAAAAATATACCTACCTCCCATCACAGATGGACTAATATAACAAAAAAAAATCAAGTCTCTGTCCCAAAACACCAAAATAATTGATATATCAAGTATAAACTAGAAGGAAGGACTAGAAGTATTTTTATTAAATAACCAGTACCATTATTTATAAAATCCGCTTAAACAACCATCCAATAAAACAATTAATAATAATATTTTTCCGCAGAGCTCAGTTTCCCCAGTGGAGGAGAAGCCCAGCAGTGAAACGAACTATGTGGTGGGGACCTGGCCGCAGTCCACGCCTGGTCACACTGGATACCTGACCGTCGCCACTCTACCACCCCCATATGCACGCAGTAAGCAGAAACTTTTTCTTATTTTCACCAATTCATATTAACAGTGTGTGTAGGCTCACCGAAGGTCCATGCTTCCTCTCTCCCCATCCCTCCCAAATCCCTAAATCTCTGGAATCCTAATCCCAAAAGACCAACGCACTCCTCTGGTTTTACGGATGTCGATGGGCGGCGCTGACTGCTTAGGTACCATGGGGTAATTTCTGTTTGTTGCTGACTTCTGACTCAGCTTGTAGCAGTTTCTGTTGAACGACGATATTATTTCCACGGACATTTCAAAAGAGACGGACCTCTGAGTCTGTTTCTGCATTTTTTCTCAGAGTTTCATCTAGTTTTTTTTCATTGTATTAGACACAATTTTATACTCAAAGTGCTGCATGCTGCATCACGTCGCACTTGGATACGTTTAAGGAGGATACAATAATCAAAAGTCTGTGCATTTCGCTATCAGCCTTACAAAAACGGGTCAATCTTGTCCCTCGCACGTCTCTGACGTCACACCTAAACACAATAAACCATTAAAGAGAGAGAAATAGAGAGATATATATTAGCCGGGGTATTTAAAAGGAAGATAGTACAGTCAAAGCCTGGCTAGATTCCAATAAAGTTTCTCTTTACTCCCCGACACATTTTTACTAGCTTTAGCCATATTACTTATACTTCTTAAATTGTCCGTACAGGCACTGTATTTGACGTTTAAACCATACATCAAAATCTCCTTATGTACAAAAATAAAAATAAATATAATTGTTTCAGGTAAATCAAACAAGAAAACAACAAAAGTAGAAAACGATGAGAAAAACTCTGAAAATGGTGATAAAATGGCTGTTGATGAAAATTAATAATTATTGTATTACGTAAACTACTTAATTCTGTATTAATATTGTTATTTATTAATAAATGAATAACGTATATGTTGTAAAGAGATTTTTTTACATTCACATATAAAAGAAGTACCCTTTTTTTAAATTACGAAGTCCCATGGAAGTAAGCCAATTGATATATTAGCTTGTTCTAACTGGCGTACGGCGCGTAGCGTTCCGCGCGCGCCTCAAAGAGCCAATAGACCACCACAGACGGGTCCTTAAAGGGCTGATGTTCAGCCGGGGTTGCGGGGTAAGCGCAATGAGGCACCGCGACCTCGGCCCAGAGCAAGAGAAGGAACAGGTTTTTAGTCAGTAAGAGTCTGACTCTCCCTCCCGCCCGACCGTGGAGGAGAGAAGTCATATGACGATTTACCCCTCACAAAAAAAAGCTTGCTCTAACTGAGGAATTTTTGATAAACTGAACGATCCTATGAGTCGAACCAATCCACCCTGGCAATGAGGAATTGAAAAATGTACTTTTTATGTTTAACAGATTCTTTGTAAATTAAAAACGAAAATACCTTAAAACTTGACGGCAAAGCCATTAGCATGTTTATCGGGTCAAACGCAATAACCGCGGCCTCGGCTTGTACTAAGTAGGAGAACGAACTGGGTGTTTGAGTCAGTAAGAGTTAGCCACTCCCTCTCGCCATTCTCTGGGCGACAAAAGCCATTTGATGATTTGCCCTACTCAAAAAAAGCCACAGAATAAACTCTACTAGTGTGCCACGTCGTATTTCATCATTTTTGCCAATGGACAAAGGCATGGTGGAGCGACCTTCGATGAAATGAGCCCACTTTAGTACCATTAACATCCGAACATCGAGTTGTGTGTGCAGAAAGCAAGTAATGTATGTCGAACTTAGGGCAGCATAACAGGCCTTAATTATGTATAGGTAAGTGTATCTAGAAATGAAACGGTAGTTGCTTGACTAACCTCTAACTATAAAATAATTTATATAAGTAAAGATTTGACTGCACGGTTGGCGCAGTGACTGGGCAAACTGGCTACCGCGCAACGTGTCACGGGTTCGATTACCGCACGGAACAACTCTTTGTGTAATCCACAAATTGTTTTTCGGGTCTGGGTGTCGTGTGTATGTGAAATTGCAAGTTTGTAAACGCACCCATGACTCAGGAGAAAACCCTAGTGCTGAGTGATGTTTTTTTTTAAACTAATAGCAGTATATTAATAATAAAAAGTAATTCAAAATCTAAAAGGTTCTAATTGTTCATTCGTTGTATGTTATGGCCTCATTTCTGTCGCTCATTAAAATTTGAGTACTTATGAGATATGAAGTATAATAAAAACAAGGAAAATAATTTGTTAATATACTTTATTGAACAAAAAGCTTTAAAATAGGTACAATGATTGGCAACTTAAATCTAAATAAATATACTCCTTAAACTAAAAGAGTTAATATGTAATTGACTCGCACAGACTAATTACTTAAGATCTAAATCATAAAATAAAATTTATTTAATTGTATAAAAAAGAACAAAGGATTTAGCACACAATTTTAGTAATAACAATTGGAAGCATTGAAAAGAAATATAATTTTATTCGTTTAATATAAAAATTTGGCATATGGGATCTTTTTCGCCACACAGCTTGATGCAGAAATGGAATGGATCCAAAATTTTTCGTCCAAGTTTCAATTGCATTATATTAGCGTATACAACGTCATGGTGGCCCGTAGGTTCAGACGCTCGCATCTCAAACATGAGTATGCAGGTTCGAAATCTGGCAAGTACCAATGTGACTTTTTCTGATTTGTATGTACTTTCTATGATTTGAACCTTGACTTATAATTTCTAATTATGAGTTTGAAATCGCCCAACCCGCATTGAGCAAGCGTGGCGACTTAATGCTCAAACCTTCTCCGTGTGAGAAGAGACCTTTGCTCAGCAGTGGGCTTATATGGGACTTATAGACTGATGATGATGTATTAAACGAATGATATTTCAACACCCAAAAAATATTTCTTACAAAACATAATTAAAATTCCTTCTTCAAAATTTTTTTGTACGTCATTGACACAAGAATTTACTGAGATCACCGAAAAATATCGTCTCCATTCCTATCCTGCCGACATAGTTTACCAAATAAAATCGTTACAATTTGTTTAAAATTCGCATAAGGAACTATCACAGGACTATTATTTTTCATATATTTCTTTTAAAAATGATTAAATATCTAAATATACGAGTATTCCATAATATTCGCTACTAATATAATATATCATTTTAATCATAATAATATGATATTTTTTTTCTATAATTTCATTAGCTGTATCCCTTAATATTCGTTGGCTCACTATAAAATATTTTATTGAATGGACTTTTTAATAAAAGGCTCTATTATTCGGCTGATAATATTATTATATAAAAAAAACTAGCTTCTGCCAACGGCTTAGCCCGCAATAAAGAGGTAAAAAGTACCCTATGTGTTTTTCCAGACTATAATCTATATCTATGCCAAATTTCATTCAGATCCGCTCAGTAGTTTTTACGAAAAAGACTAACAAACTTCTATTCTTACAAACTTTCGCATTAATAACGTTAGTAGGATTATTGTTTATTTTATTTAATATTAAATTCGAGATAGCCAAGCATCTCTACTCTACATTATTGTTCTAATACATAATATCTATCATATTATTAACTATAATAGGATTATAAATATAGTACGTTATAATTACTATGTGTAGCGAGTTTGTAAGGAAATGCGTTTTATATCTTTGTTATGGAATGGTTATAATATTGTTTTATTACTTTAAACATAATATTGTGCATATTTGTATTGTAGAGTTACGTTTTCATGATCAATAAATAATAAATAATATTATTCAATTCACCGAGATTATATTACATTGTTGATTCACATTGGAAAATTTGTAATAAGAAATGATTTTTGGTCCTACAACACAGGAAATCCTAGTATTGAACACCTTTTCATATTTTTCAATGGTTTTAACAATCAAAGGTGATATCACGGAAGAAACTCAGACATTCAAACACACCAAATAAATAAAATAAATTACATATTTACTAATCAGTAAAACTGTATTATTATTGATCATGAAACTTGCACTCAAAACGGCTTAACTTAAAGAATTAACTTGTTACTTATCAGAAAATTTAAATATTACAGGTTAACATAAATAAAATTATAAAATTAATAATTATATTTGTATAAGAGATAGAACATTGATATTTAAACACAATTAAATGTTTTAAAAATGCGATAAGTAACTTGAGGCATTTATTGTTACCTACGTTATTAATCATTTCAGATCAAGCTTTGTCAAAATTTAAAACTTATTAGACTGTGTTGTTTTTTATTAATAAAATCCGGCGGATACCTAATGGAAATAGTATTATACCTTTTCTAGTACATATGGCTACACAACAAACTAATCAAAACCAGTATAAAGTGACCGTTAAATGTGAGGAAATATCTTTCAAAACGAGACCATGATAAACATGGGAGAGCGGTTTTTATGATTCCGTACGAATAGTCCGACTCTAATGGAGCCATAAATCGCATCACAGGAAACCAGCGTCATACTACTACAGCGTTGCGTGAATGAGATTATCTAACCCTGATTTCCCCCTACCCCTATCACCAACTCCTAAATCCTCAAATCTTTAGCCCTCGAGAACGAGGTAACGCACTCGTAACTCCTCGGGCGGGGCCAAATGCATAGATCATTTATCGATAAATCATGTAAAAATACTGATTTTGTATAGCTTGGTATGTTGGTTAGGTCTACTGTTGAACTTAAAATTCAATTCAGTTAATACTAAAGCTTTGATTACTAATTCAAAGTTTAAATCTCTACGATAATTTCAGTAGATTTACGAATTCTTAATGAGGACTTATCGCTAAATTCACCACTAGTGGACGCAAGAAAAATAAGGTATCTCTCTTGCCCTATATAAAAAAGATATGTAAGTAATAAAGTTTCGGATAATTAATAAGAGAAATTATACAGAGATCGGACAAACCGTACCAAAGAAATAAAAAATAGTGATTGGTATAAAAGGGAAAAATCATAGAACATCAGCGACATCTAGTGGTCCAAAAGCGATAGTCCTCATAACGTTCAATACTTTCGATTACGATCATGTTTATTCTACTTTGCTAATCTATTTTAAAAGTTTACCTAAAGTCACTGAAGTCTGTCTTCAACTGTATGGTGGGTTTTGCTGGTTTTGCGTCGAATACGGGACGTTGCGTCTGCGCAGTACGGCCTGATCGAGCGGTCGCCTGGTTGGCCTTCAACGCGTTTTCTAACTTGTTGCGTAGCTCGGAAGACTGTTGCATCATTGTTTTAAACTCCTGTAAATATGAGAAAAATTGTTTTAAGATTAGTTGTGACACTACATTTATTTGAAGTAAGTGATTTAAACTGTTTGCTATAGACACGATTGGACTATGACAATTTCAAAAATCATAAAAGAAATGTATTTCGGTACAGAAATCATTTCTTACTCTTCAGTTATGCGACTATCAACGACAATCATTGATTTCAAATAAACCACCATAATAATATGCGAACTCGAAAATCGAACGGGAAAACAAAAAATAAATATCAAAAAGTTCAACTTTGTGTCTCAGCCTGTCGGTCCGTCCTCTAGTGAAGCTATTAGCTCGTTCCAAAGCGTAGATTCTAATGGAGAAGAACGAGCAAGAAACTCCATGGTTATTCCTTTTCAGTCAATTTCATCATCATCTTGTCGTCCGCAGGCATCGAGGCGGCAGCGCCGTGTTCCGCGCGCGTTACATAGTGGTCGGGGTGACAGGGCCCGCCTGACTATCTGGCGGGCCAATACCCGTCGGGGGAATGCGACGAATGAATACTCGCCCCTCTGACACATGGCTAAATGGAGCAACACCGGGTTGGTTTTTAATCTGTAAGAGTCTAACAGTACCCTTCGCCGTTCCCCGAGGGTGGTGGGTCTCCATGAGGATTTTACAACCCGATACCAAAAAAAGATGGGAGTTTGGACCTTGTTCAAGACAAACAATTTGTATGAGTAAAAAAATTCCACGTACCTGTGGGTGCTTAGGTCCGACTTTAGTGAGCCAGTGCAGCGCGAACTCGTGCAGGGCGCGGACGTGCGCCGGCGCGCGTTGCAACTCCGCGCCCTCGCGCAGGTACGATATCACTATTGGGACTAGCAGCCAGAGCATTTTGATACCTGCCGACATTGAAGTGATATAATATTTATTTGGTAATTTTAGCATTAGTTGAATGAACAATCAGCATATTTATAATAATAATTGACCATTATTCACCGCGCTAGCTCAAAGTGGATTGGCGATTTCAAACAGGTTTCCTCACGATGTTTTCCTTCACCTTATGTATGTGGTGTCTTTAAACTTAGAAAGTATATATGACTCGGAAAATTGCACATTGGTACTTGACAGGTTTTGAACCGGTGCGTTTCATGCATAGCAAGCTGGCGCCTTAACCTGCGGACCACCACGACGGGCAATCATATGTGTACCTATGTGGTCACAAACTAGATCGAAAAGATTTTCGTTTTATTTACTCTATTTAATGTAGTATGTATACAGTACGGCCGACGTATCTTGGCTAGTCTGAAGTTAGCCGTTTGTCTGTAATGGATGTTTTAGGAACAAAATTGTTTACTGCGCAGCTAATCGGCTAACTTCAGACTCGCCAAGATACGTTGGCGGTATTGTACCTTTACATAATATAATATAATATAATAAGTGATAGTTCCTGTCCACCGAATACGTCGGCGGTATTGTAATATAATATAATAAGTAATAGTTTCTGTCCACCAAAAGGTTTTAGGATTAAATAGCAGAATCCGATATGTTTGTCCTTTTTACATTTCTAATAAACTTTTACTTTTTGCAAGAAGCTATTATATGTGTTATCCATTTTTAAGTATTTTTTACCTTTAGGTCCATCCTCTATAAGTCAGCATAAAACAATAATATCACAATTAGTGTATTTTACACTTTTTACAGTGCAACAGAGAGTTAACTAACTACAAGAACTACAGAAGAATGTATGTGTCACCGGAGATAAATTGTAATAGTTCCGTTTAGAATCTTACGAAATTTTATAAACTTCCTAGTAAAATGATAAACTTACGGATCTTGTTATTTTCCGGTGACATATGCATTTTATGCGTACATTGAGAGTCAACGTATTGCAGACATGGCATAAGTAGAACTCAATTTTACAAAACAAAATTGTTAAGGATAATATAATTATCATTTTACAATAGTTTAATATTCTTGTCAATTACTTAAATATATTTAGAATTGTTTCAAAATATGATAAAATTGATGTTTCATGCATATTCCTGTACGTAAAATTCATTGCCTGTGGCGTATATTTTACACACTAAAGCGTATATTACTACTGACAAGGGAACCTGAACATAAGCGATATTTACGCAATCTAGACTAATATTATAAAGAGGTGAACTGTAAAACTTTGTATGTAGGGGGTGGTAGCCTTTGAAACCGCTGGTCGGATTTTCAAAATTTTTTTCAGTAATAGATGCTTAATTTGCGTATTTTAGTAGAGCTATCGCTTTTAATGCTGCTGTTTTTAAAATTCCAGGATGATAATATTCGTGGAAGTTCAGAAAAAGCTTGTACGTAGTGAAAATTGAGTGTAAAATCGACATCTACGCGGGCGACAGTTAGTTATGTATAAAGTAGAGTAAGTACTGACGTGCGGAGTCGGGCGCGGCGTTGACGAGGTCGTCGAGCGCGGTGATGGCGGCGATGGCGGCGCGCGTGTGGGCCATGTCGGCGGGGCGGCGCGCGGCCGCGGCGCGGGCCGTCACCCCGCCCGCCAGCCCGCGCGCCCACCACGACACGCGCCACGCCGGGCCCGCGCCCCACACGCAACGCAGCACCGCGCAGCACGACGTAAACACCTGCCCATTCCAAATACAACAACCTACATTAGAATTAGTTTGGAAAAACCATGCCGAAACATATCACGGTCTCAAAAAAAACGAACATGAAATAACGCATAGGCTGTGTGTGTGTTTCGCCGTATGAGTTATCAGAGGCCCAATTCTACCCTTCCCCGTTTCCATTCCATACAATCCTCATTTTCTTTACAACCCACCAAGGGCCAGCAACGCACTTCTCTGTTGTTGCGAGCTTTCAAGAATGATTGCCTACCATGATCTGCTCCCATAAAAATCAAACATAGAACAAACTAAAATAAAATTTGTAAGAACAATAAAAAAAAATGCATTCTAACCATATATATCATATTGCCGTTTAATGAAGTTAAAAGGTAAAAATGATAAATCAACCAGCAAGCAATCTTTACAACCTTAGCGCAACACTGCGCTAAACTTTTGTAAAATATTTGCGCAAACTATATAAGAACATACCTCATTATCATTAGTTTCAAGACACTGCCGGAAGTGGTTTATACAGGGATAATGTAGGGGTGGCGCTGGGCCCGCTTTGTTTAACACCACGGCCATACCACGCGCCCCTATTATCGGCTCGATGCGTTGATCTGGATCATCTACGGAAGAGTAAAAACAAATCTTACCTTTATTCGTAAGCAAAGTATGACATTATGTGCTTAGATAAATATTACATAGCAAACATCAATTTATTTTAATTTTTACAAAAAAGTTTTAATCTTATTACAACTATAGCAATAGTAAAAAAATTAATAAACTTAACTAAACTATAGTAATAAATTTATTCAAGTGAGAGAAAGCTTCAGCACGAATGGGTCGCTTCGACTAGAGTGATAACACGGCCTCACAGAAACACGGCGTGAAACAACCACGGCACTGTATGACTGAAGTTAGCAAGAGCCCAATCATTCCCCTTCTCCAATGATTAACTTTCCAAATCACAAATCGCCAAAAGTTCGACAATGCATTCGCAACTCTTTTGTTGTTACGGTTGTCTAAAGGCGGCGCTGATTGCTTACCATCAGGTAATCCGTGAACTTGTTTACCATCCTAATACATAAAACAATAGTGATACGCATATCTATTAAAAAAAAAAACATAAAAATGGAATAAACGCAATGGACGATATTTTTTCAGTAATCAGAGTTGGTATTTAGAATAACGTACCACTCTTAACCCTCTCGACAAGCTTGGCTAGCGCGCTCTGCAGTAGCTTGGCATGCAGCGCGGCAGTATGCGCATGCAGTCGGGGCGCGGGGCAGTCGGCCGCGCCCTGCAGCAGGAGGACCCCGCACTCCGCCGCCACGCCCTGCCCGCGGGACTCGCGGAGGATCTCCGTCGCCAGGTACAGGATAGTCGGCAGGATTGAGAGCGCACCTGTGTACATAAATATAGAATTCAAAATTAAATTACCCTTAAGAAATCAGTTAGGTTTTTCAAATCGCAAATTATTGAGATGCGTACAAGTTCAATGAAAGTAGGTTAATGTGACGCTAAACAGATTACTTGTGTGACTATTAAGCGTAATAGCGCAATATAAAAATTTGAGCTTTAATCACAGAGCCTGCCTAAGGTAAATGGTAATTAGCAACTTATATTAAAATATTATAAATAAAGGTCAGGTATTTTTCTTCGCCTTACGCAAGTATCTAAATAAACGTATAAAGCATATATCTAATACATGGCATTGGCAATTGCCAGGTTTCGAACCCGCACCCTCATCCATGATATCATTTAAAAAATCATCTTATGTGTAACTTAAACTTACATCAAAGAAGCCGCTCAGGTGTTTTATTTTATACTTGCGCAACGATTGTGCGAATATGGACTAGTTCCGCAAACCAATGCACAATTGCGCAAAATTTATTTGCAGTTCGTTGTAATTTTAAAATTAACAATCCAAAAAAACAACTCACAGCTACTAAAAATGATCAAAGAGGCGACTAACCTTGAGGACTAGTCAGCGACGGTAATTCAGACATGGCAGTCAGAGTTTTGACAAGCAGCGTGTCTCCGTGTACACCTAAACCCTTTGGCACTCCGATCACTCCGATCGCTCCTCCTTGCTTTTTTGGCGAGAGGGCTGGGAGGCGACGGACCAGCAAGCAAAGACAAGCTTCAAGGCAAGCGAAGACTACTGATTTCCCAGGAGGTAAATCGCCTGTAGGACCTCCTTCGCCTAATGTATGGACCACCTCGAGAACTGATTGAGGTGTTGTCCCGTCGGAAGCTTCGTTTGGTGCTAGTTCTATAAACGGAAAACATAGTACACAAGTTACGTAAATTTTGATACTTATCACTGTTGTTTTTGTGTTGTACTTATTAACAATATAGTGTCTCTAATAAAGCAATTATACTACTAAAACAATAAGCGTCGTAGAGCCATACTTCGGCACGAATGGGCTGGCTCGAACGATATGATACCATGGCCTCACAGAAAGAAAGCGTCAAACAACCCCCCTCCCGCCCTCCCTCATCCTCACTCCTCCAATCCCCAATCCTTAAATCTCTAATAACCCACAAGAGACCGGCAACGCACTTGTAGTACTCCTTTAGTATTACGAGTATCCATGGCCGGTGCTCATTGCTTACCATCGGGTAATCCGTATGATCGCTTGCATATTTTCATTTTAAGTAAATAGGCTCTATATATATCTCTATAGGCTCGAAGAGAAAATGGTGTATGAGTTTAAATTAAACTAAAATTATGGTACATTTTCAACATTGACTTACCTTTAATCTTGGCCTGCATATTAGCATGAAGTTGCTCTTTGGCACCTTCTATAACTAACTTCAGAACATCAGCTGCTAGAAGCAATGCTTCAATGCTCTCCTGAGTAAGTCCGGTGCGATGGATTATTTGGCATAATTCTATTGCGAGCGCCCTGAAAATTTAATTATTATCTGTACATTACTGATATTTACATATTCTGTAATATATCATAATGTATAGCTCTGTTGGTTTCCTAAATAAATATATAATGACAAAGTTTTGAAATGAAATTTGAAGTGATAATGGGGACTTGACCATCCAAACGGTTGACTTAAAAAATATTTCTATTTTTTTTATATTTCAATAATTTATCGATCACCACGGGGATTCAGTGCACTCCACAGATTAAAATTACACTATTATTACACACCTGTCTTTCAGTAGCCTGGCTCTGTTCTCTGGCGCATCGAGCAATGTGACCAGAGACAACAGCACAGAGATTATATTCTCATCGCTCATGTCACGTTGTGCGCACAGAGCTTCCGTGCAAATACCTGAAGGTAAAAATCATTGTTTTGAAATAGTCATGAGTGGCGGTTCGTTAGTCTCGCAAAAACTCTAAAATTGCTGGACCAACATAGTTAATTATGGTCTCCAAATATTTTATTTATTTTAAAGACTTGACATGGTTTTCTTTTTGCGAACTTACTTACCGAATAAAAGATGGAATCTCTCATCAATGGGTTCAAAGAATTCAAAGTTTCCGTTTTCAGTCTTCGATGATCTGTTGTCTAAAGCGCCTTCTGATTTATCTGAGAAGTGAAAATAAATAAATAAAGAGTTGAGTTCTCAAAGTGACAGAAAGGAGGTCGAAATAACAAACTGGACCCTCTAATACTCAGAAAGGCAGTAGGGAGTAGCGTTAGAAATCATTAAATGTCTTCATGGGAAAGACGAAGTGTTAGACTCAATTACTGAAAATAAAAACACCATGTTCATTCTCCTGCCCCAGCCGGTCCGTGGTCAGAGGATGTTACAGCGTAAGCCCACTACCCACCTACTGAGGGGAGGAATGTATTGGTTTTTAAGCAGTAAGAGTCCGACTCTCTCTCGCCTCACCCTGGGCGAGATAAGCCATTTGATGACTTCCCCCAAAAAAGCTGGTCCGTGGTATATCATCCCCCCTTAAACCCGCATATTGTACAGAGATGTATAGAAGCAATGAATGTACCAGCAGGCAGCGCGCCCCCCTTGTTGTACCGCAGCGCGGCAGCGTAGAGTAGCTCGGGCCAGGCGCGCGCGTAGTGCAGGCGGGACGCCTCTGCCGTCTCCGCGCAGTAAAACGCTCCGCCGCCGTGCGGAAGCTGAGACGCGAATTCTGAAAATAATTTCCTTATTAGAGAAAATTTAGAATGTGTGAAAATTCATATTTTTAATGATTTTGTTGCAGAAGGAAAATAACCTTCTCAAAAACCGATAAGAGTTATATTATAAAAAAATAAACAAAATGCATTGTAAGCTTTCAAATTTTGTCAACCAGACTGTTTTTGTCTAATGTCCGACACGAAAATGCAATAGCACGGCTCTATGCTCAATCTTCAGTCCTCCATTTTCAACTAGCAACGTATCTCACGCTGGCCTCCGTTGATCAAAAGCCTGTGTTATTCCAGATTATCACCTATATCAAACTTGAAACCAAATCTAGTCTAGCTTTTTCTGCGTGAAAAAAAAATAAACATACATTACACCAACACAACCTTACATTCTCACAAATTTTCACATTTATAATATTAGTAGGATTAGTAGGATGCCTTTCAAATTAAACAGAGTAACCTGTCTGGCTTGAAAACCAAACCAGCGCAAAATTGCGCAATTTAGCGCAAAAGACGACCTATGCGCATTCCACCACACTTACAGTTACTATTCCATTTAAATCTAAAATTTATGTTGAACGCCATGGTGGCCACATATGAGCCACGGTAGCGGAGGATTAACTCTGAACAGTAATCTATCGGCAATCAATAACTTAACCAAGTGAATTTCTACTCACCAGGAGGCAAACTCAACAACGCATGATCCTTTAGCGCCGCAATCCAATTCTCCCCTAAACTTTCTAACTCTGGTTCCACCAACTTCAAAAGACTCTCTCCTTTGGACTCAAAGTCTCCATACTCCTCATCTTCAGGTGTCTCGGGGGTTGCATTGTCTATTTGGTTATTATTTTGTAACAACTGGTTGCGCCATCGAGCCAATTCCGCTTTGTTGTTAAAAGGTTTCGTGTCTAAGTGTTTCACGTAGCTGCCTGGAGCGCTTCCGTTGCTGACCATTGCTACTATGTACACCTGCAGAGAATTTGTTTGTTAATTTAGATTTTTTCTTTAAAATGTAAATGACTGAATGATTTGTTTTTTACTGTAAAGTATGGTTTGTCGACTAGACTTAACTAACTTAATAGATGAATGTGACAATTTGACTAAAACCCAGTATATTAAAATCCGCAAAAGGCAAAAATAATGCTTTTTATCACTTTAATATGTTATGGAAGAATATACAATAGTATTGGAATAGCTTTTTATATCAAAATGTTAATACTTGCCTCTGCCCAAGCTTTCAAGATGGACAACTTCTCCAATGTTGCCATACTTTCGTTGTAAATCAAAGTGGTGTTACCCTTAGTATTCAATTTATCCAAGCTCGAAACCAGAAGTTGATGAACTCTGGAATTAAAATTAATTTCATTCATTCCTTTGCTACCAGATTTAGTTTTGGTGCATGTTTATACTTTTCTCCTCCATTGCATGTTAAAGTTGGAAAATTATACAATTATAAAACTATCTAATATAGTATTGCACATTTATTTTTCGTTGCGCAAAGTTTTTATTGGTTGCGCATCACCACTTTTTATACCTGCGCAAATCGTTGATATCCCTGGCGACCCCGCAGCCTATCCAGGCGGAGCAGACGTCGCAGGCTGCAGCCGTCACGTGGGACGCCGTGTCGCCGGAGAACGCGGGCCTCACTGCCGCGCCCACCTATATACCAAACAATAACATAATATATGTGACATATACTTACAAACATAACATATACTTAAAATAATATACATAACATATACTTAAAATAATATACATAACATATACTTAAAACAATATATATATATACTTAGACTTTACATATATAGCCATTTAACCGCCATCAGACACAGGGAGGTAAAGTATTTAACTTCGTTTTTATGTAACTGAAAATTTCTAATCTCAGTTCTAATCACCCGTTTCTAATGCTTCAGGGCGTGGTTACAAAAATTACAAGTCCTAATATGGCTTTTCCTTTCTCCGTTTGAGAAAAGGACTTTGCTCAGCAGTGAACATTAATATATTAATATATACAGCAAGTTCCTCGCAAGAACCGTTAATCACACACAAAAAGTTCTCTTAAACTCTTGGTCAAGTGAACTTACTTGGTTTAGTCAAACCTTTAACACATTTTTCCGACTAACCTTATTTCAAAACTATCATAAATGACATGATATTTGCGCTACATAGAATTTGTATTACACAGAAGAAACAAACCTGCGCCTGATACTGTTCTAGGAGCAGATGTCCGGGGAAGTCGGGCTCGGGTGCCCTGGCGAACTGCTGTATGATCATCTGCAACGTCTTCAGTCCACACAGACGTAGCGCATCTGATTCCCCTGTAGCTCCCACGAACGCCATGCGGACTAAATCCGATAGATGAAGGGAGAGGTAATCTCCTGAAAATTACATTATAAAATAAAAAGTCAAAATCATTTATTTCAAATAGACAACAGTCGGCTTTTTTTAATGTCATACAAAAAGAAGGAAAAATTTATTCAACTAAATAAAGTCTGAAATACACATACCGTCCGGTTGGGTCTGTAGCTTCTCCTTGGCTTTGACAAGATCGAAGTGAGCACTATCGCCCGTTGCCTCGCACGCTCCCATTATCTTTTGAATGCATTCCATTGCGAAAACCTGGATTTAAAGTCAAGCAAATAATTATTATGGTATCTAGGTTAACCTCGGAAGGGGAAAGAAAGGGAAAACTAATAATTAATGTATCAATGAGATTTAAAAAAAAACATATCTTTTTTAAAGAGTCTTTTTATGTGTGGGAGAGCCATGCTTCGGCACGAATAGCGGGCTCGACCGGAGTAATACCGCGATCTCACAGAAAACCGGCGTGAAGAACACTTACGATTTATCCTTAAATCCCTAATATTTTATTTATTTATTTTTACTTTAATAACCCACCAAGTTCAATTTTGCTTCATTTCTGTATAGAATCTTTACTTTGTTTTACGATAAAGTTTTAATTATTACTCCCTACGAAGCCACCATTCTTAATACATCATATTTTAGCTTCGACCGAAGATAGACGGCCTTTTGTTGGTATTACTCCGCAATAACGGTCTTATTGTAAATCTTTGTCTTAAAATATAATTATAATTTATCAATCATTTATCATTCAATAAAATAACATACCCTAGTCGGCCACCTAGATTGTACAGCGGGGTGTGTGGACTGTTCCGACTCAGCGTGGAACTCCGCTTGGTCATCATCTCCTTCACCGTCGAAATCCGTGTCAGGATTGTTGTTGTCCTCTGAAAACATTAATAGTAAATGGTTATTATATTTACTTGCGCAAATATGGTCAGTTTGGGAGAGTTATGCTTCGGCAAATATGTGCCGGCTCGCCCGGGCTGATAATACAGCCTTACTGAAAACCAAAGTGTTACAACGTATGCATTGCGATGTTATCGGAGGACCAATCTTTCCTTCCCCCTCCTACATCCTCGAATCCCTTATTGGCAAGCAACACATTGCAAGACTTCGGTATGGACACCTCCATGATCAGACTGCTCGTTCACCCAGATAAGAATAGCATAATGAACTAGTGAAACTTTTAAATAAAGTGGCCGCACATCAAACTACTGCTTTCTATATTTTACTCACCTAGTCGAATGGTCAGTACTCTCTTAGCGAGTACAAGCCAGTCCTTCACGCTACGATGCGTCGCGGCGGCGAGAAGGCAGCACGTCAACGTATCCCGCGCGTAAGATAACGCTGTGGGGTCACGCTCACTATCCAAAAACGCGAATAAAGCACCAGGAAGACCCGTCTCTGTGATTACTACACCTGTAGGTAGAAATTGATTTTGTTTACGTTAGGAAACGGCTGCGCAATTAAGCGCAATGTTTGCGCAAGTAAGGGCAATGTTGGCGCAAGTAAGCGAAATCTTTGCGCAAGTAAGCGGAATCTTTGCGCAAGTAAGCGCAAAAATAGTTTGCCTTATAAAACTAAACTAACTAACCTTTCGATCAAGTGATATTCGAGATATTCAAGTGGTTATTCGAGACACAATAGAAAGACAATAGCCGGCGCTTGGGGTTTAGTGAATTAATTCAACATATTCTTTGTCTGATAGAGTAAGCTGGTACATACATTGCACATATTATTATGTAAACTTTTCCATTATTTATCTGAACTTAATAAGAATGAGAGCAAGATTTAGATCCAAGTTTTTTAGATCCAAGTTTGGTTAATGTAATGTTACATTTTGTAATTCACCATAATCATCATCATCATAATCAATGAGACTATTTTCCTCTTAGGACACTTTTACTAAGAAGTTACATACCACAATAAGGTCGAGCAGGCACATGATCCTTGGCCATGAGGGCGTACTTGCACACTTCGGCGGCCTCCTTCTGCGACAGCTGACGTAGGCAGCAGAGGGCGGCGCGCCGGACTGTGAGGTCCGAACTGGAGAGGTCGCGCTGGAAATGTAAGCAGATTAATGTTCAGCTCTCAGTAATAAATGGAACTGGGGGTTAAATCGACCTACCCAGCATATAGCATCAGTCTATAAAGTTTTACGTAGAAGAACCACACTTCGATAAGTTTAAAACGAAGACCGGTTTTACTGGATCATGGCCTCATAACAAATCTGCGTATAACATTAAATGCGGCAGAGCTATGCTTCGGCACGACCGGGTCGGCTCTAAGTCTAAGAATCAGTTACTGGCTTTTTTTTTAAATCTCTAAGAGATAGGGGTTACCCTTAACTTTTTTTTATTTTGGCAAGAAAACGTAGTTATGTATAGATGTAAAGTAAAAGATTACTTACTTACACATAGTTGCGGTACGAGTGTGTGTAGATTGATATGGTCTGGCGCGAACATCTGCAGTTGCTGCAGACAGCCCGTGGCCTCTGCGCGCGCGCCCCCGCCCCCGCACTCAAATAGCGCTGCGCATGCGCACACGAACCTGCCTACCGCCACCACTGCAACAAATAAAAGCAAAGTAAAATACCAAATTACCGTAAATCGGGGTGAATAGATACACGTAAGGGGTGAATGTTGGCGAATTTTCCTAGAATCTATTCACACCCCGAATTTTATTCACCGTCTTTTGATAAGCAATCAGGAGACGATACAGACCATCAGATCCCTTGACTTCTGATGCGTTCCGTAAAATGTGCCCAATCGTACTCTTCCCTCCATCCTTACCCATTCCCTAAATCCGAAAACCCCTTACCCCAAAATGCTAACAACGCGGAGTGCGTTGTTAGCATCTAGTGTTGCAAGCATCCATAAGGGGCGCTTGTTGCTTACCATCAGGTAATCTGTCAGCTACATGCAGCACGCCCATTTGTAACTGCCCATGCCCATGTGAACTTAAAAACATTTAAATATTTCTGCTAGATATTGTATCATTCAAATTTTTACCTTGCAACTCGGGTCCAACTACAGTGATCAAAGCGGACAGCAGTCTCCCAATACTGCGATGAAGATCCTCTTGGAATGGCGGCGCACTGAATAACAGCTTTAAAGCCAGGTTCAGGGTGGACTCTACGTGGCCACGGAACATTGGACCCGAGGCATCTGCTAGTACGGAGAGGGCGTGAAGAGACCATACCTGAAAAAAAATTATAATTTTAGTTTTTGCGCAATGAGTTTAGGTTTGCGCAATGACTTGTTTGCCTTTGCGCAAATTTGGGTTGAAGTTTTTAGTTACGTAGGAATTAAGACTGTTGCTGTTTTACTTACTGAACCTTTTTAAACTAATAAACAGCAACAATAATTTCTGTTTTTCTCCGCAGGTTGAGGCAGAGCTATACATTTTTGGTATACTGTTTTACCGTTTCGATATAACAGTCACTTTTTCACCAGCAAAATCTTATTACGGAGACGAACCTATTGCCAAACACAAATTGTAGAATAGTATTTTACTGAAAACAGGCATTGTAATAATTTTTATTATTCGCAAGTATAACAAAACTTACTTGCAACTCAACAGCGGCTGTATCTTGCGCTAAGGCCCTTAGAACAGGTAGCGCTGCAGCGCTTGAAGTAGCGCCTCTAGCACGTTGCACAGCGCCGACAGCCGCTGCAGCAGCTGCACGGACGGACCGGTTCACCGCTGTACGCGCTAAAGCTATGACTTTTTCTGACAACGCTTGGCTTTCAGCTTCAGTAATACAGCCACATAGTCGTCCGGCGCATGAAGCGGCCGCCGCACGAACTGTTGCGCTGTTTGCTGATAAACCGTTCTGTAACAAAAAAAAAACGTTCCCGTTCTGTAAAAATCAATTTACTTATGAACAGTTGAGGAAGGTCAGGGGCGGATTTATGGCATTGAAACCATTCCCTATCCCAGTAAGTTCTTTACATTGTGTTGACGTAAAATGAAAATATATAAAATAAATAAATGAGCTAAGAAAAATCGAATAACATCGAGGAACCGACCACGTTAAGTTCATCATAGAATTACATTAAAAACAATCAAATTCGTATGAACTCTCTGATTAGCCAATAAGCACCTAAAATAAAAGTTAAAGTATTTGCGCAACAGTTGCGCAAACTCTAACATCACTAATAACGATTAAAATAAAAGATAAATACTCACAATAACTAATTCAATAGCAATATTCTTAACGGCCTCCTGTCCTAGCGAGCTCTTGAGTTCGGCTAAGGTCCTCAATGCGAGCAACAGAGCAGTGTACACGTTGATCTGTATCGCTTCCTGGCGGGCGCCTTTTGACATTTTTATGCATTCCGCAAAATGTTCCAGCATCTGTTGCCTGTGGAACAAAGTAAGATAAAATTAATTTCAGACTTTGTATAAACATATAATTACATACACGATACAAACGTGTTGAATCTATCTTCATAAATGCTATGATTAATACCACAGAGATAATTCAAATATGGGAATTAGCAACAAGATTTTGATTTTTTTTGTAAATCTCTCAAAATGTTGTTCCATGCATCCCAGATGCCGCGTTGATCGCGCAGTCGTAATTTCGAGAGGATATAGAGAAATAATCAAAAATAATGCATCAGAGAAAAAGTTCATTGGAGTATGTTCTTCCTCATCCCCACCAACAACAATACAGCGAGAGAACCATCAATGGGCCTGTTCCCGGTATTGAAAGCGGGTAAACCGGGTAATCGTATTATTCAAATTGCTTTAGACATCATCAAGTTGCTATTCGCTCTCTTTAAGCCATTAGGGGTGTCCTAAATGTGTCATAGTGACTGTTTATCCTGCCACTTACCGATGTTTATTAGCAGCCCTGGAAAATATTTGCGGGAAGAGCAGTACGGAGGCGTCGATGACGGCGACCCCTAGTGGCTGGGCGCCGGTATGGCCGCGGTACAGGCAGCAAGGGTCGTGCTCCAGCGCGCCCGACCCACTCGCGCTCAGCGGGGACATTAGCTGGGGGGAGAGGGGATACATAGATAGACTCATTCAACACAAGACCTTCTCAACATATTCAGAAGATACAAATACAGAAGAAACCCGTCGTAATCGTAATAGACTTTTGATAAAAGCTGAGTGGAATTTCTACTGAAAAAAATCGTTAATTTTTACGGAAATTTTCACAAATCCACTGACTACAGTTAAATGGAGATAGAAGTTAAAAGCGTGACCATAAAGAAGTCTATGACTGTCATTCAGTGGCGGACAAAAATGACACTTACTGCATACCATGGTATAAAGCAATTAGCTTAAATCTCAAAGACCTGCTACGAACTTTACAAAATTTCTCGTTTATATATTATCCTACATTTTATATATTACCTGATCCTCAATATCGGCATGATCCGTATCATAAATCCATCCCTCTTCGCCCAACAATATGGTGTCACGGGGATGCATTGCGTTTCGAAGAGTACCTGTAATAAAACATTCTTTAAAATTCGACATTTATCGGCGGTGACAGACCACTTTCTACATGGGTAAGTAATATATAAGCAAATTCCCGAATTTAAAATTAAATATATAGTGAATAATAATATGGCAAATTCGAAATAATAATAACTAAAAAATATTATATTCTTCAAGTCAAAACACCATACCAAGTATAGCTGTACTTACCAGTAGCAACATTAGCGCCACTCGGATCTGCAGAGCCAGCTAGCTCAGCTGCCAGCAGTCTGAGTAGGGGGGCGGGAGGAGGGGAGCCTCCCCCTCCCAGCGCGTAACACGCCTGGTACACTCGCAGGCGGAGCAGCGCTGCCGGGGCCTTTAAAGCGCCGCCGTATGAACGTACTACTGTGCTAACGCTGAAAAGTGTTATAGATTATAGACCTATCAAATGTTTGCCTTCCGAGAGTTAAAATAAATTCACTGTTTTGTTAGATCTGTCGATATTTATAAATACAGGTAGTTAGGTGTACAGGTAAAGGTAGGTTTATTTCCCTCTGAAAAAAATATATTTGCAAAAGGCAAATCTTCTTTTATTTTTCTTTATATCGACTGTCAGTCAGACAATCGTAATACCAAAGGAGTTACTACAAGTGCGTAGCCGGCATCTTGTGCGTTATTAGAGATTTAAGAATAGGGGATTTGAAGATTGAGGATGGGGGGACGGCCTCCGGTAACCTAACTCACACGGCGAAACACAACGTAAGTGTTGCTTCACGCCAGTTTTCTGTGAGGCCGTGGTATCACTTCGGTCGAGCCAGCCCATACGCGCCAAAGAATGGCTCTCCCAAATTATTTTTTTTCCCACTTTTACTACAAGTCAATATTTAACAAACTTGAAATAACACTTACTTGGTAAGAACAGCAATAGCGCCATCTATCGGTTGTGTAAGACGTTTGGCTGTATCATCATTGTGTACTAGCGAGGGACAGTGGATCAGCAGACTATGTAATGCTGATAGGGCTCCGGCGCGACCTTCCAATGTAACCTATAACCAAAACAATACTTACAGCATTTTGTTAAAAATATTGTATATATACTAAAATATATTGTAATACTAGCTGACCCGACAGACTACGTCCTGTCAAAAAAAAAATGTAATGTGCCAGTGTTTTGTTCCTACCTATTTTATATTCTTTGCAAAAAAATATCCTGAACAGAACCGTCAAATTCGGTGTGAATTAAAATTAATTAAAAAAAAAACACTAAAATGTTTTATTTAATTATTACCAGAGCAGCGCCATCTATTGATTACTTACTCAACCCAATCGAAAGGTATCGACATCTATTAGAATCATTTGGAGTAAACAGGTAATTGTGACTGTCAAATAATTAGCAATTAATTAAAATTGCGACTATAATTTGAGATTTAAACTATCGTATCTCTCAAGTTGGATCGAAGTGCACATGGTGTGCGAATTTTATTATAATAGGTTAAGTGGTTTATGGTATCCATGATGAGGACAAACATTGTGACACGAGATTTATACATATTAAGATATACTAAAAAAAATCTTCTTAAACTCAACAATAGGTTTATAACGACAAACTTACCTGCCAAGTAAAAGCATCTCCTCGGGACTTTTCCGATTCCAATTCTTTAGCGGATCGAGGGAAACTATTGCGCCAAAGTAGCAACATTCTGGGTAGTAAACCTCGGACGACTGGTACACCTGTGAAATATATTGGTGTTTAATTTAAAATATGTAGAGACTACTAATTTCTTTTTCTTTTTGTTGTATACGTCATTCAAATTACTTCTCGATCCCTGGGTAACATTGGTACCCTAATTTTTTCTCCTGCTTCGGGCCGTGACCGCGGTACATTATTGCGTTTGCACCCGCAAATAATAATACAATATTAAGAAATAAGAGTGGGAGACACATTTTTATGTGTGAGATAGCTATGCAAACCACGTCAATCACGAGCTTGCGTTTCCCCATGGGAGTGAAGTTGCCAGAGGCTAGTCTTCGTCTCCAATACGGTAGTTTCCAACTAGTCAAATTAAATACTTTTATCTAAATGTCAAAAACAACACTTTTCTATGAAATTTGTATGAAATACTGAGTTTTGACGTCATAGTATTTTTAGGTCAAATAGCTTACTTATTTCTCAAAAATTAGCTAAAAAATATCTAAAATTTAGTCGATATAGATCGATGAATGAAAGTATAGTTATTTTTCAATATATTATTGTATTCAAACGTCGAATTTATTTATTTTTGACCTAGGAAACTACACAATACTCAAATCCCTAACCCTCGGAAGGAGGGGGGAGTACTCGCCACGTGTTGCAGTTGTACATGGTTCGCTGAATGCTTACTATCATGTGAAGATACTTGTACGTCTAGTGCCTATCGGGTATTAACCCAACATTGATAAATTTTGTTATTATTGTTTGTTTGTTAGTTCGAAGATTGAAAATTTTAATACTCTATCCACTAATCGTAAGTTACATAAGAAAAAAAAACTCGATATATTCTCGACTTACCCAGTGTACAAATAGCTCCGACAATGAGCCAGCCGGCGTTAGTTCTAGCTGCAGTCAGGCGACTACTTTGTCCCGCGGATCGGAGCAATTGTTCCGCGGCATTAAAGGCCACTTTCCCGCGCCCGTGCGGAATGCCTAGTGGGGATAGTCGGACAGCGCCTAGAATAGCCGCTAGGGCTGCTGAGTAACCTGGAGAAGTAAGGCGAATATAGAAAATATATTTTAAAGAGTTAATTGATGACATATGAGAGTCAGTCTTCAACAATGATAATTAGTCATATCATCAGTTGCAGGATTAAAATAGATCAAATTAATAGAATGTCTTTACGAAAGTGTTAGGAAAATGGTCGTCGAATTGTTAAATTGAAAATTTGTTATTTCATTTCCAAATGAATTGCAAATCACACCATAACAATCTTCATTACATTAAAAACCAACTCAAATTACGGTAACTGTGACTGACGGAATAAAGTTAGATTGCAACTGCTATTAATTTATTTATTTGTAACATAAAGTTTCATAGGAAAATTCAATGCCATAGGCGTTCTCACCAATCGACCTTTTGGTGATGTAGAGAAAGTCTGGTAGGCGCAATAAAGAATAACAATCCATACGGCATTTGACTTACTTTTATTGAAATATCAAAAACGAAACTGTTACTAAAATTTGGTATGGAAAACAGAACTGTAATGTCGTCATATTTCAGGGTTAAACAGCATAGCTTTTTCTTAAAATTAATTACTTATATCGTCAAAAGTATTAACGAAGTACGACGATTACTTTTGATTGATTAATTGTATTGTAAATCTTGAAGGAAATTGTTTTTTACCAATTAAATATTTTCCAGAAATAAATGAAAAAAACACTATTTCGCTTTATAAAAGATAAGCTTTCCAGCATTGAGTCGTGGGTGTAGTTACCGGAGATATGGTGGGGCGTGGGTCGCGCGGCGTCGAGCGCGTCGACGCAGCGGTCGAGCAGCGGCGTGATCTGCGCCGGCAGCGCCACGCACACGCACCGCACGCACCACGCCGCCGCCAGACGCGCCGCCACGCACGGGTGCGACAGGACCTGACATCATACACAATCGTATTACCTAAACTTCCGTGCCTACTTCACATCATCAACAGCCTATGATGGAATACAGGATCATATCGGCGAAAGCTCAAAGAATTTTTTTATGCTGTAGGTCGCCAAATGATCAAACAGATTACCTGATGGTAAACAATCAGCGCCGCCCATGGACACAACATCAAAGGAGTTACGAGTGCGGTGTCGGCCTTTTAAGGATAAAGGTGTTGGATATTTAAGGATTTGAAAGGGATAGGACTGGTGGAGGGATTGAGCCTCCCACATTCCACTCACACGAGGAAATACAACGCTGTGGTTATTTCACCCCGATTTTCTATGAAGCCGTGGTACCACTCCGGCCGAGCCGAACCATTCGTGCCGAAGCTTGGCTCTCCCTTACACTTAGATATGCATTCTTAATTCTTCATAATTATATGGGAAAATATTCACGTTACACTTATAAACTAATGTATGTATATCCTTATGTACCCTACCACCAAGTTCACATTGTGGAATGCAATAAATATATTGAGTATTGAGTACATCACAAGAGTTGTCATAAGTCAGAAAGTTTTTAAAAATTGAATTTCATTGCATGCTTATGTTATATGTTTGTTTCATCGCAGTCATGTAAATTTCCGATAGTTACAGTAATAGACCTGCATACAGTTCAAATACGACTATTCAGACATAGTGAAACTTGCCATTTTTTGAGGGGTAAAATTCTATCGCCCTTACTAAAAACCAGGTCCAAGGCACCGGGGCCTCGGCCCAGAGCAGAATGAACGGGGGGGTTTAGTCAATAAAAGCCTGACACTCCCTCTCACCAAAAAAAAAGGCCATGGTACATTATCGCGCTTCCCCGCAACCCTTGCCTTTAGTATTATTAATGGAGCTTCAAAATGTATTTTAGTCAATCAAATAATCACACCGCACACACGTTTTAACTGTAAATTGAAATGATGTATATTCACTATGACACTAATGTATATAAACTACATGTACCCCATTTTGAACTACAATATCAAGAAAATAAGGCCAATTTTCCAACTTACAGTACAGATAGCGTCGATCATGTTGAGTGAGGTATCCGACACGAGGTTCTGTACCGACGTGCCGAGCTGTAGAGCCAACTCTCCGGCTTCCATCAACGCACAGACTAGCAAATGCTGACTGAATAAAGTTTCCTATAAAAAAAGAAATATAATTATTATTATTTTACTAGTCATTAGTCGATATCGTTTGGTAGTGACCTAATAAACTAGGGTTAGAATTCTGAAATGAGAATTATTATTACGATAATTGAAATAATAGCTTGTAGAAACCTATGATTGGTTAACAAAATTTTGTTTTTGCCTCTAAAAAAACGTTGCTCTTCAATAAGATTTTCTCTTGGATCTGGGGTGCGTTTCTTATCATCACAAAATTTCATATAAGTCATTATAAACGCATCGACGCTGCATTAACTTGGCGTGATTTTTATGACATAGGTCGGCAAACGAGTTGCCGGATTACCTGATGGTAAGCAATCGATGCCGCCCATGGACTCTCGTAATACCAAATGAAACAGTTACTACATGTGCGTTGCCGACTCTTGTAGGTTATTAAATTTAAGAGAGTTGAGTATAGACGTAATTAGCAAAAACGTAAAAATAGTTCAATACCTGGTTACAATCCTTAGCGTTCTCAGGGTTGAAATCAATACTGTTCATCTGTTTGATGACTATTTGAATGATCTCACGACAAGCTGATGATTGCGCCTTTTCCCCAAGCATCTTACCGAGCGTGTTGCGCAGTATGAAGTTGATGCATTTCCTAGTAACAAATACATCAACAGATTATAATATGAATTAACTTTCAGAAATATAATATGTGTACAAGTCGATGGAATGAAGTTTTAAAAAAACTGATATGAACTTATAGAAACTTTTTTGTTATGCCCTCATAACAAAAAAGTTTCTAGTTAAGTAATCAAGCAAGTTATCAAATGTATTCTCTATCGTCTCTCGCTCAGGGTGAGGCGAAAGGGATTGTCCCACTATTACCTGCCTGCCTGCTTTAGGCCGAAGCCGCGGTAACTTATTGCGCTAGCCCCTAGCTTATACTGTAAGGGTCATTTTACAGTATAAGCTCTTAGAAGCAGAAATCTAATTAATAACAACTTCAATTCAAATTCAACCTTATTATCTATACATAACACAGTTAGTAGCATCAATAACTTAAGAGATTTATTACTATGCGCGCTCATATGTTTGCGCAATTTTGCACGCTGATGTGTAATTTGCAACTTTATGTAACAACGCGTCGTTTTGTTTTCCAATCCTACGTTAACACCCGTTACCTTTATGTATGGATTTTCTTCTGTATCGTAAGTGCATTGGACAATTTCACGTACACATTATACCAAGATCCGAAACATCATATTTTTTAAATCACAGAAATAATTCCGCATTGTCGAATTCTAACCACATAGTTAAATATTCCTTTGGATAACTTACCTAGAATAAACAGCGTCGACGTGTGAGCTCGCCGCCTTGGGGTTAGCGACTAGATCTAACACGTGATTGAGGAACGTCGTCATATTGCGTTCCAACCACACGCCACCCATGTTCTGAACGAATATCACGTATGCCTGGAGAGAGAATGCTTCAATTAAAATCTTTTATATAAGATATTAAATTCTAATAAAAAGACACAAGTCATAAGTCAAGTAGTCATATCTACAATTGTCAGAGCGATAGATAAGCCAGTAACATAGTTATAAAATTAGACGTAAATAAACATTCGAGCCAAATAGAGAAATCTTACCCTAAATCTATAATACACCAAAACCGCTAACACGTACACGTGTATATAAATATAACACAAGATCTGACTCAACCGTAAGGTAAACGGCAAAATTGTACAGAGATATCAAACTTTATTTCTAAAGCAATAGGGTTGTCAATGACGTGTTGTATTTTAATGTCACTTTTGTTATACATTCAACGGTGAACCAGTGATCTACGCGGCGGCTATCGTATTAATATTTTTAATTTGACTAAACTCAATACTTACATGCGTCACACAAACTCTCACTTCCCGGTTGACTCCAGAACTGGATTTAATTATTTCTCCTTTAAGGAATGAAGTACCTCCGCGTAGGAAAGCACCCATCAACAAGTTCAATGCTTCATCTAAAGACACTACGTTCTTAGGTGGATCTTTCTTTTGTTGTACTGTAAATTAAAAAAAATAGATTAAGAATAAAAAAAGGAATTGAGACGGTTTGCGCAAAGTGATTGTTGCGCCGACTCAATTCGCAAAGTCGTTGTTGCGCAGACTCAATGCGCAAATACTTAGGATTCATTAAATCAAAACTTTGCGTAAAGCATACAATGACATTTGTTGGTATTTAATGTTCACAAATATTAAAACATAAGGTCGGCAATACCTAGGACAAAATCATTAAAAAAATGAACAGTACCTGACGGTGCACCGGTTTTCAGTTTGGAATTCAAATTAGTAACTTCACCAGCCTGCGTGATTGCTATTAACGCACCCAATAATTCAGCTATAGCGCATCTGTAATGAAAAACTACTATTAATAACTAAACATGGTTATTTTTTTATAATACAACAATAGGGGTATTCCTACTTAGTTTTAAATTGTTGTCGAATGTGTCGACTCGACCCGAGTGATACCAGGGCTGCACAGAAAACTGACGTGAAACAACCACAGCGTTGTGTTTCGCCGTGTGAGTGAGGTTACCCTCCCCCGATCCCTAAATCCTCAAAAGGTAGGCAACGCACTCGTAACTTTTCTGTTGTTACGGCTGTCCATGAGCGGCGCTGATTGCTTACCAACAGGTAATCCGTCTGTTACAGAAAATACTAGCGGCACGACGAGTGCAATAGACATAACAAATATAAAGAATAAACAAAAAGTTTATTAAAAAGTCGGCCGTTTAATCGACTAGCTACTCCCGCGCGGATTCACTCGCTGCTCGGCTCCATTTGATTGTAGCGTGATGTTTTATACCCTATAGCACTCGGGAACATTGTGGTTCCAAAGTTACCCCCTATATACAAACTAACAAATTTTACCTCGTTGTATAATATTAATTATTACTTACTACTATTTGATAATTTTAATTATTACTTAAAATCTCGCTATCAGTTCTATTTGTAAGTGTTTTTGTAAGAGAAATATTTATGAATGTCCAATTATATGGCCTTTAACTTTTCGAACATTCGCTTTAAGCACTTTTTACGGGGCTTTGCTCCCGTCCTGGATAGGGCGAGAATGAGTATCAGACTCTAACTGGCTAAATACCACCCGGTTGCTTCTGCTTCTCAGATGCCTCTGTCGAGATGTACCGTCTTAGGTGGCCTCATTTGTGGAGTTCTAATCTTAAATAATTTGCAATTGAAATCGACCTCACATATCTTACATATCGGCAAGCCTTTTTAACCAATCGGCCACAAACACTACAATTTTAACCACTTCTTCCATAATAAATAAACGACTTTACCTTAAAGAATAATCACTAGACTGAGCAGCCCTTAAACAGGCGGCGGCTATGGCGTCCAGATCCGCTGGTGTTAGCCTCATCAACGGTAACAAATGTCGCAATGTATGGGCCGCGGCCGCTCTCACTGCGGTTGCCCTTTCCGACACTAGCGCCGCGCGGGCCGCACGAGATACCTCGCGGACGGCGGCCGGGGCAGCCGTGCCCATACCCACACAGATCTGAAATTAAATTAAAATTAAAAAAAGGTTTAGTACTTTTTCTTAAGGTTCAAATTAAACCATAGATTTATTCGTGCTATTAACCCCTTTATTGGCACTGTAACGTTTTATAGTTTTTAAGATCTTAATGTATTTAATATCATCGTAGCTTAATACCTAATCAAAGTCAAAGTCAAATAATTTAATTCAAATACACCAGACACTACTAAATATTAAACAAAAAGGATATGTCAAGAAGTTCAACTTCACGTGTTTCGGTCTGTCCTCTAATGAAGCTATTTGCTCCTAGTTATTATTAACAGTTTTGTACGCTAACATGCATAAACAAATAAAAGATAAAAAACTGATTTTTTAGAACCCTAAGTATAATAGAAGTAGTTTGCAACGTTATAAATATAATTATTTAATTGCCATTACTACTTAAATAGTCGCAATAGCCCAATTACTCACAACAAGAAAATTCGCACTTGTGTCAACCAATCAGTTTGCAAGATCATAAAACACGGCGTAATCTTGTTTACCATAAAACCCAGAAGTTCCTTACGACCTTCATAGAATTGTAATGTTTTCTCAGCAACACATGTTGTGTTATATACCAACAACGTGTTGATAATCATTACCCAGTCTTTAGTCATATAAATTGTTTGTTTAAATTCAAACAAGTACCAAAACAACACAACTTTGTTATCTAGTAGGAATTCCCATGGCTGGAAATTCCTTGTAACATAATCTTTAACTTTGAGCAATCCAACATTTGACTAGATAAGTATTGGAATGCTTATGGCTCCAAATAGTACATGTAATATTACAAAAAAGTTCTTATTAAGTGTTTAAGGATATATGATCAAACTCAAAGCGCTTTGAGTGTATTTCAATGAAGACCTCAGATATTGTAAAAGCAATGATTGAATAGCCGCTATATACGAGAAAAAAAACCATAATTTGTATAGCCTATGTTATACATAAGTTTAAAGGCGCCATCATCAGGCAACAACGTCAGTGCTGAATAGATTTTTATGGAGACACAACGTAGAATATTTAATAGGGTAAATACCGGCCTGTAAAAGGGCTAACACGGCTAAAAAAAACATGACGATCATCAATGAGGAGAATTTCTTTCTACTACATTGCTCTATTGCCGTGGTGGCGGCAATAAGAAAAGAGGATGTAGTTGAAACGAAGGTTTTGTTTTAGTACATATCTCAAGGAATCGTCGAATGTCATATACATAGATATAGGTACCTAAATACTAACAAACTTATAGAACTAGGTCAGGTGCGTAACTAAACAGATAAAAACAAATTTCCGTAATTTATTCAAACTACAGGCATTTCGCTTGTAGTTTATAAACACAAACATTCATGTATCTTAATGTTCACTTGTTAAGGAAATGAGATAAGGCACAGCACGCCAATTACTTTATAAAATGAAGTGGTACAAAAAATCTCTTAAAACTTTTTTTTTCTAAAATCTTATGTGCTGATCCATTTTACTATATACATGAAGTAGGACACCTTTTCCATATTTGAGCCGTCTAATAGGGTACCTATGTTCACACAAAGTAGCGAGTGCAAGCGCAGTAATAACGCAGTCTCGATCTGGAGAATGAAAGTTTGTAGTCAGTTAAATTCTGACACTCCCCCTCACGCCACACTTCATGATATTCTCCCCTCAAAAAAGGCGTCTAACGCTGTCTTTGGCAACAAGTAAACTTTTAAAGAACCGTCAAATTTTTTTTTATGTTATCGAATTTTGAAGATCATCGAGTTCAGTGGCATGCAATTGGGGAGGCCTATGTCCAGCAGTGGATGACAACAGGCTGATGATGGTCGCATTTTGTGCGAGATTGCAGCTTATATGCACCTATGAAGATGTTTTTAATATGTTCACCTTCTTTGAAGTAGGTAGAGGAGCACAATCATCTAATTACATCTTCCACCCTAGATGCGGTGAGAAAGAGTGTCATAGACTTACTGACTAAAAACCACCCCGATCCTTCTCCCGCTCCGGACGGCAGAGGTACATTATTGCATTTTTTACGGCATGGATCAGCAAATGAGCTTACTTATTACTCGTTGTTAAGCAATTGGCTCCGTCTGTGGACCCTCGTAATACCAAAGGAGGTTCTACTGTCTCCAATGAAGAGATTAAATGTAATAATAGTAATAATAGTACTGGCGAAAAGCTGGATGTAACGCTATAGTGTAAATTTTTATGTTTTAACATATAAATATTCCATTTACAAACCTTTTCAAGGGTATTCATAATTTCAAGTCGCGTCTGGGACTCAGCATTTTTCAGTGATCTGACTAGAGTTGTCACCGTCTCCTCGTAAGACCTTCCCATCATCCTGCCGAGTTTCTCGTACATACTTCCCAAGCAACATATCGCTGCCCTGAAAGTAACAAAAGTATATTATTAGGAGCTTTTATGGCAAAGAGTTGAAAAATGTCTGCATGTTTGGCGCAGTGGCTGGGCAATCATCAGTGTCGCGAGTTCGATTCCCCTAAGGAACCACACTTTGCTGTTTCCGTTCTGGTTGGTATTTGCATGTTCGAGTGTGGGACAACGTTCTTATGAATTAAAAATAGAGTAGACTGATATTTTGATGGTAGGCAATCTGCTTTACTCAAGGATACTTGCAACACAGGAGAGCTACAATTAAGCTGCTAGGATGGCGAACATATTATTGAAACTCCGTTAATATGTTGTCTAAAATACAGATATATAAGAAACATTGTTTACGTGATGGGGAGGAAAAGTATTAGACTTATATGCCACTAGCTTCCGCCCGCGGCTTCGCACTCGCAATTATATATAGCCTATAGCACTCGGAAACATTTTAGCTATCTAACAGTCTATTTTGGAAATCCAACCAGCGCGAGCGATTATTAGGTTTATCCCCTACATACAAATTTTACCTCTTTATAATATTAGTATAGATTTAATTTAAACTTTATGTCAACGTATAGTATTTATCTTTATAAATATACTAGTAAAAAAAGACAAATTTCCTTCAAAGGATAATAAGATTATAAATACAATCTGTTATAAGCTCATTATGTTTGTGCTGCGCTTGTATTACGTACTGTAAACGCGGTTCAATAGAGACAACAGATGCTAACATACTAACAGGCTTAAAGACACGAGAACAAAAAAATATGTATTATCTTTACCATAATAAGAATACACAATCCATAGAGTACCTACAAAAAAGGTATTTCAAATATAGAACTTGCTTTGTCTTAATTCTTTTTTGGCCAGTATTAGGAAAAAAATTTAGTTAATCTAATAAGTAAGCTGAACTTTCTTTGCTTTTTTAAGCGCACTGGTATCGTGATCATATGGTTTGGGTTTATGGTGGTAGGTTGAGTTCACGTCCCAAAATTCAAAAGTCAAAATCATTAATTTCAATTAGGCCCTTATAGGAACTTTTCAACGTCAAACAAAGCTTAAAGCTAAAAAGTGTCGCTTTCTCTCTTGCTAAAGCTATTTGCTCGTTCCATAATGGAGATTTCGATGGATAAGAACGAGCACGAAACTCCTTGGTTAGGTACATTTTTTAAACTAGTTTTACATACAAATCATTTGTCACATTATCGAGTTGAGATGTGAGAACAGTGTTATATTAAACATGGGACTTATAACAAAACTCAGTATTAATTGGTGTTACATTAATAATGTTTACCTATGCCTATCCCCTGGATGATTATAATAAGTACGTAATGTTATAAATATTATGTTATTTTGGCGTGAATCAAAGCTGATTGACCGTGTAAGTGAGGTTGTCGGAGGCCCAGTCCATCCCTGTCCTCAATTCTTAATTCCCTTATCCTCAAATCCTTAACAACCTCTCAAAAGGCGGCAACGCATTTGCATCTCAACTGGTGTTTGTCGGTGTTAATGGGCGGCGACGTTTGCTTACAGGCGATCCGTCTGCTCGTTCGTCAGCTAATAGCATAAAAAAAGTTTTGTTGCTATTAGTACGTTTTTATTTTCTACCAGGTCTTGGTGACATCCTCTATTTTTGTATAGAACACAAGCTCAAGCATAGTCGATATTTTTGGCAGTGTGACCTACATGAATGAGTAAATGATCTCAAGATATTTGCAGGTATGATACAACTGTTTTTATACAAATAGCAAGGCATGGAAGACCAGGCTTACTGGTTTCTAATTGAGAGTGAAGTTTTTTATGGCTAGCCTATCATTTCGAGCCTTAAAAACAGCTTTAGTTACATATGTATTATGTTAATATTTCCAAATCGCAGCTGGATATATGTAATCTCGACTAAGTAAACACAAATTTGAATTTCACTTAATATAATAGCAAAACAAACTTCAGCCAGTTATTTCATATTATCATTATTTCATAACGCTATTTAAATCTATTAAAGTGCCTTATATATGACATCATTCATATACTGAATAGCTAGCTGACCTTTTTATTTTGACATTCAAGAAATGTTAAATGAACTATGGAATGAATAGTGATGTCTCATGAGACTAAATAGGTCAGTGTGGCCGAGGGCATTCTTTATGTCCCTTATGGTATTTTTTATAGTATACATCGGCAAACTAGTAAACCAGCATCACATGATGATAAGCAATCAGCGTCGCTTATACATAAAGGAGTTATGAGAGTTGTGACGGTCTTCTGGGCATTATTTAATTTAAGGATTGGGCAAATGTGGCTTGAAGATAATACAGCGTAAGACAAATATCTATATAGAAGAGAATATCCACATTATACATTACTTGCTAGAATTGGTAGTGCAGTTCATCAGAAACTCGCGTTATTATCAAACAATAATAGACATCTTTCCTAATCCTGAAGATTACAATTAAAAATTAAAAAAACCAGATGGGCCTATTAATCGGGTAGTCGCTGGTGCTAAAGTCGACTTAATTAAGATGGTTCTTTTTCAGTTCTTTCGAAAATCATTAGCACGGGGCCACGTCTTTTTTTTCTTTTCTTTTTTATTTAAACGTCGCCCTACACTATGATGTCCTCCTGTGTCGTAGGTGCGTTTACAAACATACACATCACATCCAGACACGGAACAACAATTTGTACATCACACCAAGAGTTGTTCCGTGCGGGAATCGATCCCGCGACACGTTGCGTGGCAGCCAGTTGCCCAGCCACCGCGCCAACCGTGCTGTCAAAACATGGAACTCATAACTTAATTGGTGATATGTATCCTACTTATTATATTAAATATGCATTTCTGCTAAGCCATATAACTATTAGAAAATGACCACAATTAAATTCATGTGATGTTACCAAATCTACCAATCTCAACAGTTGTATGATACTGTTTATAATGTACGTCATAAAATGAAGCAGCCGATGCTTACAATGTACACACAACAACACAAGCACAATTAACAAAAATTAACACTCACAGTCTAGTCGGCAAATAAGATGGCGAATCATCTTTAACTTTAATGATGTCATTGCATTTGTTCACAGTATCAAACAGCAGGAATGTATCCCCAACGGAGAACAGAGTAGCCAAATTCCTGGCTAACAACCTCCTTGCCGGTCCACCAAGGTTTTCACGTAGGAGGTTCACTAGCTGAGCCACTAGTTTTTGCTGGCAGCTTTTTATGTCAGACTGTGGAAAAAAACATAATTTTATTAGGAGTATTAGTAAATTCAACCATGTAACTAGAAAATTTTCGAGATAAATATTGATACTTAAATATTATTATGTAACTCGCACATGAAAAGTGGGCTTCTATTTTAAACATTTGTTTTATTATCTACTTTAAACATGTTGAACATTGATATAAAACTTTAAATTTAGGGTTTTAGTAAAATATTGCTTTGTTAAAAAAGGAAGTCAGGTTGTCAGTGATTGATGCCAAACACATAGGTACTATTTGTTATTCAGTTTCATATGTCCAGCCAATACTAAGTTCATCATTCAAAATAGAGAAAACATGGATAAATTCCAAAACACAATTGCATATAGTCTGGTCTGTAGTAATGAAAAATACTAATAATAAAAATACACTCTAAATTCTCTGAATTCATAATGCTGTTTTGACACTATAATGAATGAATCCATTATGAATCATGAAAAAATCCTTTCATAGACAATAATACAATTGCTTATACTAGAATACTTGATCATAAACATTCTCTAATACCAACCATTCTTGTGTAGAATGCATGCAATAATAACTTTTAGATTAAAGTATAAATTCTTCAAAGCGTTGAAATTTTTACTAAGTCAGCATGTAATTCTACTCTGAGTCATTAATGACATGTCAGTTTATTATTATTTCATGAATCGAAAAAAAATTAACAATTCAGACATAATTATAACTTAGGTTTATATTATTTTTGGTTACAGAAAATGTTTTAAACCCATTTTTTTTTTCAATGCTACTGCCAATATTAATGTTTCGTTTTTTTATTGTCTAAGAATGAAATTCGTTTTTTAATGTCTTTCGGTTTGCTCTCTCCTAGCTATATTTTCAGAAGTATACCCTAATAATATATTATTTATCTACACCATTAAATATAGTTGAAACGTAAATAAAAGTAAACCTGTACAGAATACCAAATAGGAAGAAATATAATAATATAAATAAATAAAATATTTACCTTATGAGCAGCCACAAGTACTTTGTCAAGGAACCGGAGCCATTCAAATATGAAATGTGGCTTCTTGTCATCTGGTAATTGTTGTAGAGCTGACTCATTCAGAGTCAGGGAATGGGACACCTCCATTTTTCTGAGAACAAAGTAGTTTTTTATTTTTAAACTAGGAATATTTTCCAAAGTATTTCTGTTAACTTACTCCAAATAAGAAATCCAACATCCAACACTAAGGCTCATACCATAATCAAATTGAAATAAATGCATTTGAATGAGCAGTTTAGAACATTCTCAATTTATTTTTAATTTTATTTTTATTAAATTAAGACAGTTGTTTACACAAATAACATGAAAGAGCTGGTTTTATTTAAAACTCTACACCTTTTTAGTGTGTTATAATATGCATACTGTTCCTGTACAATGTTTCTATTTAAACAGACCTTTCAGACAGATTTAATTACTAAATACACAATGTTTATATTCGTGACCTAACATAATAAACCTACTTTCGTAAGCTAACAGTTTTAGTGCATGCAAAATGAGACTATAGAGCGCTGTAACACATTGCAATTTGTTTATAATAGTTAATTATACACGGCAATGGCGTCAACACGATGAATCAACCGGAGACTGATAATATTACACTGAAATCAGCACAGGGTCATACAGCTACAATTGTTAAGAATTGATATGATACAAAGACTCACTATAAAACAATAAAAATCATACAAACCAATGAACGTGGGTAGGAAATTGGAGAACACACAACTTTCACATAATATTAATTAAAGTATTTTAAAAAACAACACTTCACTAACACGAAACTATGACAGTGAAACTATGAAAAGTTTACCATGAAACGATCACCACGCAAAATACACTCAAATTGAGAATATTTCTAAATACAATACATAAAAATACTGGTAGACCGAACACAGCATCAGCAGTCAGTATTTATTAATTTCTGACAGCAAGTAATGTCAAAGTGATATATAGAGTGGTACAGAAATACTAAAAAGAAAAACCGTAAAACATCACTTAACACATATGTTTCATTTCACACTAGTTATAGCTCTCACTTGTACAAAGTGGCTTTTTTTATTTATTATTATATTTCAAGCTCATTTAATCAATAACAGGGCACTTCGTAACAAATGGTACTTAATCAAAAAATCTGTTTTTGTCTATAATCTATGACAAAAAAAAAATTGGAGCTGAAAAGTATCAATCAGGGTTCCCAGCTTCAGAGACTTACCCTTAAATTTAGGAGGTGGATGAAAGTAAAGAGATTTTTCGAATTTTATTGGCATCAGCTGCGACTTATCAGTTATCACTGAGTGAAGACGCTTTGGGTAAAAAGAGCGGATACTAAGAGTCCCACCAACACTTATTTAAAGAAAACACAACCGATAATCACTCTTTGTATTTTCACTATTTTTAATTTTATACTGAGATGTGCTCATTACGAACATAATTATTGTAAATAAATCAGAATTTAGAATTGTAGAAATCTCCATTCTGCCTCAAGCAAGCATAGATATGCTTATTCCGGTTACATCTAAAAACAGAGATTAAAATGTTAATACGGTATTTGCTATTTTCATTTTGAGGAGATTTAGGGACAACATTTTTCTACGAGTGGTAATACTAGTTTCATTCATTCGTTCATTAATTAAAAAAAAAATTATTCGTTCATTCATTTATTGTCTCCAAACATCACGTAGTCAGTTCAGTCAGTCCAGTCAGTAAAAAAAAGCCAGTGCCACTCCACTAGTCGTGTCAAAGTCTTCGTCTTGTTGATTGCTCGAGACTGTCCGACGCTTTCAAGGAATAGTATTAATTTGTAGTTATAATTTTAATTTTAGTTTAACAAGTTTTACCAAATACAAACATTACATAGTTCTGTGATCTTTTAACGCGAACTCTAAAATGCAGTGAATGTGACCTAACACGTAGGCTACGTGTGTTGTAAGAAGCCTCTTTTAAACCTAAAGCTTTAAAGAACAAGATCAATGATTAACATGAGTGCTCAGCAAAGCCCGGCGGCGAATATGCAGTCCGTGGACAGGGAAAAGATATTTACATGGATCTTGGAATTGTGTAATCCAGAGACACGCGAAAACGCGTTATTGGAGCTGAGCAAGAAGCGTGAGAATGTGCCAGACCTGGCGCCCATGCTTTGGCACAGCTTCGGTACTATATCGGCGCTACTGCAAGAGATCACCAACATTTACGTCGCTATGATTCCGCCGACGCTCACGGCTCACCAGAGCAACCGTGTCTGCAACGCCCTGGCGCTCATGCAATGCGTCGCCTCACACCCGGAGACACGTTCGGCCTTCCTACAAGCTCACGTGCCTTTATTCTTGTATCCCTTCCTCCATACCGTATCTAAAACGCGTCCATTCGAGTACCTACGCTTAACTAGTCTTGGAGTAATTGGAGCCCTAGTAAAAACAGACGAACAAGAAGTTATTACTTTCCTTTTAACTACTGAAATCATCCCATTATGTCTGCGTATCATGGAGAATGGATCTGAGCTGTCCAAGACTGTAGCTACATTTATTTTACAGAAGATTTTACTTGATGATAGTGGCCTTTGTTACATATGCCAAACTTACGATAGATTCTCCCATGTGGCTATGATATTAGGAAAAATGGTGCTCTCACTGGCCAAAGATCCATCAGCACGTCTGTTGAAGCATGTTGTGAGGTGCTACCTACGTCTGTCAGACAATGCAAGAGCTAGAGAGGCTTTGAGGCAGTGCTTGCCAGATCAATTGAGGGATTCGACATTTGCTGCCTGTCTCCAGGAGGACAATTCGACGAAACACTGGCTAGCCCAGCTGATAAAAAATTTGGAAGCCCAGCCACCACCGGCCAGTCCGGCACCACAGAACATGTGAGCTTTGTCTTTTGAAACATGCTGCCCACTATGGACAATGGCAATAAGTAGTGCAGTTTTATATGATAATTAATAAAACATTAGCTAGCACAATTACACATCACTGCTTACGGATCGTTGGTACTTAGTATATATTCTATTGCAGAGATGTATGAATAAGCCTTACTAATCAGGCTTAGGAAAAGATGCATATGATATTCAGAATTGGGTGCATAAGCATTTCCAGTTGTTTTCTGAAACAAGCATTGATGTACAATAAGCTTGTATAGACTGACTAGAAAATATGAGTATGCTGTGCACCTCCTTCTCTTTCAAAGTAAAGAACTATGTTCTTAGGAAATCAGGAATTTCCTTAAAAATCTATTTTAATTGATTTTAAGTGTAAGCAATACTAGTGCTACTAATTGTTATTGTTTATAGTGGGCCTGTGTGCCTTTTTTACAATTCACAGAACAAATCTGTGTTTATAAAAGATATTCTACAGATTTGAGTTAATAAACATATCCATTGGTAATGAAATAATTGACATAATTAAATTAATTAATGTAATTACTAAATTTGCCTTTTTATTGTTATTATACGTATTGTCTATTACACATTGTTGTATTATTTTTTTAGGTACAAAACAAGATGAAAGCACTAATTTTGTATGCAGTCGTAGTGGACTAGGATTAAAACCTTTTTAATTATTTCAATGCATTTTTTTATTTTACCTTCATCCCAAATGGGCTAAAATGATGAAAGATGGAAATAGAATGGGCTGACCTGATGGATACTAAGACAAAGTAAAATGTCACACCAAAATAACATTATGAAGGATATTCATCTAAACAACAGCCTACTGCCCTACTAGTAAGTATTGATGTTTGTAGTAAATGTTCTGTGAACTTCTCGTAGACTACAAATAGCAGTTGCATTTAATTGCAATTTATATTATTATATAGGTGCAACTGCTAAAAGCAAGGCCGCAGTGCTTAGATAAAAAAAATGCAATGAAGTAGTAGAGACTTGTGTTTTGTTTGTAAAAATAATCACCCATCCCTTACAATGGGTTTTAATAAACATTTATACAATAAGGTTTTTAATTTTACATTATTTTAATAAACTTACTAGCAAATGGACTATGCATTATTATTGATTTACTGAAAACTTGAGTATGGTTTTTAGCTTTTACACATAAAAGTTCTATTGTTACCTGAATATAGTATATAACTAAAAAAGTTTTATTTGAAATTTAAGCACATACAAACAAAAATGAAACAATAGCTATAAAATTCGTATAACTGTGTCGCAGCTATCAACACTTCTCCAGACAAATTTTGTATTACCTTGTTTTTTGTTAAGGGAAAATCATTAAGACTTCTCTCGGCTAGGGTATGGTGAGAGAGAGTCCGACTTTTACTCACTAAAACCCCCCCTTCCTTGTCCTGCCTTAAGTTTTTTATTCTCAAACTAAAAACCTTTGTCTTGCTCTTACAAAGCACGCAAATGCAGAACAACTATAGCCAACCCGAGAAGCTTTGGTGTGTCGTGGGTCACTTTCGTAACAAAAGGCACTCTACTTTAAATAACAATTCATAGTGTGCAAAGAAAGCTGTTACTGGAAGCTCCAACCATCATTGCACTTTCGCTGTACTAGTGGTACCCTTTACCATAAAATGTAGGTAAGAAAAGTACAGAAGTAGGGTATTATGGCCATGTAAAGGGAAAACTTATCCAACCTAAATAAAGATCTGGCATACCTCGTGACCATCAAGCAAAAAATTGGTTGTTTGCTTCATGGTCGAGACCGTGATGAGAAATCATACCTCTATAAAGTAAAACACAACTTGGAAGCTGCTTGTTTATCTCTAAAAAAATATGAATTTTACGGACATACAGGTGGTTTGGCTCAAGTTTGGCTAGCTTAGCCTTACTGTGATTCCTTTATTACCTATAGTTTTTTTTTTTTGTGACGAAGCAGAGAGCAAAAATCCCGGTTTAATTTATCTATGTGACGAAGCCACATAAAACTGGAGTCTAAATGGTGAAGGGTAGGTAGGTTTTGGTAGATGTAGGAAGGTACCTACCTACATACTTTATATACGCTCACCAAAAAAATTTTGAAGACCTTAGACCACCGCGCATCACAAAAGATAAGAACAAGCAAAATAGGTACTTACATGTTAGTGGCTAGGTAGGTACTTACTTACATAAAAATGTGGATTTACGGTGTAAGTACTTATATGGTTAAAAAGCCTACATAGATAGAATATACGTGTACATTTTAAAAATAATGAAAGACCCTCAATGACCTAGATAAGAAAAGAAGGAGGCTCGAACTTCACACCTACAAGCAAGCAAGGGTAAGTAGGTACCTACGTAAGCCTGTGACCTGTCATAGGTAAGCTCAGAAATAATAACGGTACTTATAAAATAGTACTTAGGTAATATCTCAACTATTAAGGAAATAGATGTTCTTCATACCTAGATACCTACCTACAATATAAAAAAAATGTTATTCAGTGGGTAAGTACCTAACACTATGTATGATTTTTTAGGGTTCCGTTGTCAACTAGGAACCCTTATAGTTTCGCCATGTCTGTGTGTCTGTCTGTCCGTCCGCGGATAATCTCAGTGTCCGTAAGTAGGTACTAAAAAGTCGTAATTTGGCAGTAACATTTATATCAATTACCTACGCTAATAACATGGTGAAATTAAAAGAAAAAATATTTTATTGAGGTAGGTAGGTATCTAATTACCTATATTGTTCAAAAGAAATCTGAACTAAAGTAATTTAGCATTTAAATGTTGTATATGTAAGCAGTTAGCAGTTTTTTTTACTTTTTTTTTTAAATAAAAAAAGTATTATAACCAATGATGTATAAATCTATAGATACGTTGTCCGCGCTCTAAAATGGCAACATGAAATGAAGGCAATTTGACAACATCGCGCTTAGTCACGCACCAACCTCCCGCGCGACGCTACGTTTGTTATAATTTATATCGTGTGTGTAAACCTGTCTGTGAAACTAAAGAAAGCATGCCGTCGTGTGTGTTCAGAGGATGTACAAATTATACTCTAAAAGTTAAATACAAAAATGTGTCATTTCATGCGTAAGTTCACCAAACAACCTATTTTTATTTTATTTTTCGACGCCGGCGCCCGCCATCTTATGGCGGCCGGCGCATGAAGGTATAGTCACGTGCCAATGTAACTGAAGATGTATATTTATCTCCCTCTAGCAAAGGCATTCCACTATACGATGTCATATTTGCTTTCCCTTTCTTTAGTCGTAGAAGTAGTTATCTTGTATTTTCGCCGTTTTTAAGCGCCGCGATGTTGGTTCATGACGTGTCTATATATAATACGTCATTGATTATAACATAAAATCGGTTTATACCGTAAATTAGTAAACCTATTCTCTAAGAGATGGCGCTGTACTTTATCGGGTATAAGCACGGGTATAAGACAGACAGAAATCTAGGGAACGTTACATACCCGCCCGATAGATAAGCTCTTGACCGGTTTTTATGTAATAGGACGGCAAACCAGCTGACTGATTACCGGACAAAACCAGAGGGTACAAGTATGTGCCCGGTCGTATTTGGGGATTAGGGTTTCGGAGATTTAAGGATTGGATTGGGGGAAGAATTGAGTCTCCGGTAACCTTACTAACGTGGCGAAACAACGCTGTGATAAAAGATGTGAGTCTTTTCGTTATTCAATGGAGTTTTCTGCGAATGATCTACCAATAAGTAGGTACCTAATATCTAGCTACTGAGGCTATCTACTTACATAATAAATAACCTACCTACTTACTTAATAAATAACCTAACATGTACCTAGTTATTTGTTACTTTTTAATTACTTCAATATCATCATCGCCGTCAGCTCTTCTCATCCAATTTATTTACCTACTTGATACCTAACTACATACTTAGAACTTCATGAACGCGCTATCGCTAAACACAGTTCTTGGATTTCATGTACCTAAGTATCGAGTCCCGATGGTCTCGCCTGACCCGCATAAGATATCATGAGGATTTCAGTTTTCGAATATTCCCATCAGTTGAAGCTTACTCACCATCGGTTCAACGTGGTTATGTTCAACTGAACATAATTGGACAGTGAACCAATAAACTAACGACTTTCTATTAGGTAAATAGGTACCAACTTACTTGTTTACATACTATATGTACCTACGTACTAAGTGTAATGATAAATATTTAGTTATATTTATATATTATTGAGTAATTAGACCCACTTATAATGCCGCATAATCAAACAGATTTATTGAAAATTAATTTACTTAATTTAATTTAATTAATACCTAAGTAGGTTTCTTTTATAGGAAGGTGCGTTCCATTATCCATATGACTCACGGACCGTATAGATGTAGGTATAGGTTCCTTCTTATCTAGTGTTTTAGTAAATTATTTTAGTATTTTTAAACATTGCAATATTTTAGTCAGTTTTTCAAAAGTCAGGACCATGAACAGGGAAATTATTAAGGGCCCAACGTCTCGCACTATTCAAGACGTTATGTGTTCGTTCATCAAGTGCTATGGTCGATTCCTCCATATGTTTTGCATTACGAGATTGCCTTGCTTTGAATTCTTTCATCGTGTACTTGCTATTGTGCATCTTTTCATTTCGAGTCTCCCGTTTACTAGCGTGGCTTAATCTGTCAAGAAACTGTGTACCACAACTCAGTGTCTTAACTGTTTGGGAACACGCCTTGTCCGCCAATAAATAATTCTTGGTATCAAAAGTTTGTACTTGTTTCACACTAGATTTGCAGTTAGGAAGCCTTCTTTGAGAACATTTGCACCCACAGCTATGATTATCGCGTCTACGGACATCTGTGACGCAGTTATGATCGCACTTCAAGGGCCCAGTCGCTTTTGTGTTGATGGCTGTATCCACTAGAACTTTCTTGTAGTTTGAAGCTCCAAAATCCTTAGAGCGCAATGAAGATTTGGTAACGATACCTTTACGCTGTAATGTTATATTGGAAGGTTGTCTTTTCCTCGTTATGGATCTAGAGCCTGAACCTGATCCGGATTGTGTAATGTTATAGTATTTATTACTTGCAGAAGATGGAAACAAACATTTTTTGGGTGTGGTAAATATCTTAGGGGATGTGCCTAACGCTGGCTGCACTATTTCATCACACAGTTTCTGAGCTATAGACATGAAGCTTGCTATTCTGTAAACTTATTTCCTTTTTCAAGACATTAGGCACTATTTGTGATCTCACCAAGTCATTTCAATCTGCTATTTTTTTAATTTACCACATTTTAATGAGTTACAGATTTATAGATGGCATGATATTTGAAATAAGTGCAGTGAAGCACAGATTACTTTGAACTACAGTCAGAAAACTAGTCGGAGAGCTTGACAGTAAAGCCAAGGATAGGCAAAGATTGTATTTGTACAAAGACCAAAAAGTGTAGCAAAAGTCCCATACCATGAAGATCGACATTCGAAATTTTGGAAATTAATGCTATTAAGATGTTCATAGTAGGCAATATTGTAAGGATAAAGCTATAAATGGTAAAGTTAATGTTAAAATTAAGTACCTAAATAGTGTCAGGCGAAAATATTACTTATCGTTGATTCTGTCTACAAAACAGTAGTCAAGATTTATAGCAAGATGTGGCCACCAGGACAGTCACTTCTATGTCTAACAACGGCATAAGTAAATTACAATAAAAATATCTTTGCCATAAAACAATCTGATAGGCCGACTGTAATGAAAGGTAGTAAACATGAAAAAAAATTTAAAGATTTCTAGAAACTAGTACTACCTCAAAAAATTAAATTACTGTTACAAAGATGAACTTTTGCTATAGAAATAATCATATCATGCTATAGAAATATATACTTATATTTTAAATAAAACGTTGTCCCACACTATATTATCTCCAGTGTCGTGGACGTGCGTTTAGAAACATACACATCACACCCAGACCCGGAACAACAATTTGTGGATCACATAAAGAGTTGTTCCGCACGGGAATTAAACTCTCCACACGTTGCGCAGCAACCAGTTGCCTAGACACCGTGCCAATCGTGCAGACAAATATCTATAAATAGGATAAAAATTAGTTGGAAAAAGAAAACTATTGCAAACATGCCTCATAAATAAAAGCACACGTTTCAGTAATCATTAAAAAAAATGACATCGACTGCTGAACTTTGACACAAAGTTTTGACATGGTTTTGACATCTGATTTGTTGACAAAAAGTATTAAAAAGTGGTAGTAAACACCAAAACACCTTATTTTTTAGGTAATTCATTGAAGCTGGAGGAACAGTAGATATTTACAAAAAAGAATAATGTGGATATTTGGATATGGGTCACTTGTGTGGAAGGCAGATTTCAAATTTGAGTACAAAGTAGTAGGTTACATAAAAGGTTATTTACGACTATTTTACCAACATAGCATCGATCATCGAGGTGTACCTGAGAAAGTAAGTACAAAAAAGCCATAAAAGTATCAAACATAATTAGGATAAAGTGTGTCTTTGTCTTCTAATCGTTGTTTACAGTGAAGCCGATAATCACTAATCCTGTTCTACTATAAAGTGTTTTAAACCACAACATTAAGGATTTCAATGAGCTTTTATAGAAACCCATTAGTAGTTACGGACTTATATATTTTTTTAAACAGAAGTCTAACCTCTTTTGGCATTGCTTTAACAGTGTTTCTAAGAACCATAGGTTCCTAACCTATGGTTCTTAGAAACACTAAAAAAACGTCTTAAAGTTAATATAGGTTTCAATAAGTGTAAGTTATTGTAGGTTACACATTTCTAGTTCCCACTTTAGCAATCTGAACAGGTACTTTGATACTAATATATAAAAACAAACACTTTGACACATAATAAATAGACCATGCATCTATGATTTATTACATAACCTTGCAGTCTCTTATTTAAATTGGTTTCTTTGTACTAAACAAACTATAAAAAAATTGAACCTTGTGTTTAGAAAAACAATTTTATATTTTTGTAAAATGTTCTAGTTCATTGTTTGTTTTCTAATTTAAGTATCATTAAGTAGCAGATTTCTTAATAAGTGTTAAAAATTAAGGGTCTTCTTATTATTATTTACAAAGTGGTAATAATGCTACCTTTTTATTGTTACTTATACTTTTGAAAACATATTATTATACTATTTTCTTGCTAAATATTTCATTTACAGGAGCACACATACATGGCTCTAAATAATAATCGTCTTTTTTATTAAATTGTCTGCTGTCTTTGTTATTGCACTTTTAAACAACTTTGTGTATTGTTTTTTTCCTAAATAATCTTTAAAAATTTAGGAACTACTCTTTTTTTTAATTATAGTAGGCATAGCTATTTAATTTTGTAGTTAGGTATTAGTAGGCTTTTTATTACCATGTGGTTAAAAGATGCATTAGAAATAAGAAACTACTATACAGACTTTAACCTCATTATGTTGTTTCTTTGTCCCATAATCTAGTGTATTAGGTAGAACAAACTAAAAAAACTTTCAATTATAGTCTGATGTAACAAAATTTTTAGTACAAAGTATGTTGTCTATCTTATGAAAAACTGGATATAGTTTGTCTACCATATGAAAAATTGTAAATAACTAGAAATAAATTATAATATTAATATATGAGTGGAAAACAGCCATACACAAGTTTGCGCCATGTGGCAACGGGGTTTTATAAAATAAAGGTTTTGTATGGGCTCCTGAAAAAGAACTTCTATCAAATACATGTCCATTACATTTGTTTCTGATATACTTATTATTAATAAATGCACTTGACATTTTCTTTTATTTTGCGTTTTTATAAAAAATTATGCCAAAACTGCTGGTCTAAAACAATACCTTTAATATTATTCAATTTTACTTTTCAGCCAGGCAGAGTTGTGACCCTAATACAAAGCAGTGACCCAAACAGTAAAGTATGGGGTGTAGCTTACAAAATAAGACCTGAAGATGCAGCCCAAGTTTCCAAACACCTGGACTTCAGAGAAAAGAATGGGTACAGCAAGAAAACTGTCACATTCCACCCTAAAGATAATAATATAGAACCATTCCAATTGACACTATATGTAGCGACGGAAGACAATGAATCTTATGCAGGTGGGTTAAGTGTTATTTTTCTTTTAATATACAGTTATTTTAATAACAGGAATCCAGTTACTGTAATTTAATTTGGATTTTGTGTTATTATTCTTTACCAATTATAACCACAACCACCACAGGAGAGAAACGGCATATTATACTGTTTAATATTAATCACCATCCTATTATATGGCAATCAAATACCTATAACATAGTGTGTTATATATTAAACTCAAAAGTAGAACCAATAAGTAGAGGCAACATAGCTAAACAAAAACATAGCTTGTCACAAAATTCTTCTCTGTCAACCATCTAACATGCGTGTAGCGCCATCTGTCGATACACAACCTTACTGAAAGGGTTTTAAATTTTTAATATTTTTTACAAACCAAAAAAGGTCGATAATAACACAAAACAATAAAAAAGAGTGTGTAAAAAAATTATAGTATATTAAAAAAAATAGCATAAATAGTGTCAATATTAAATTTCAATACATAGTCAATTTAATACAATAATTCAGCAATATTTATGTCATACTAAAGTATTAAGAATGTGCATATTTTAATCACTTGTTGAATTTTAGAACTCATACAAAAATATTTTTTTAAATTATTTAGGAAAATGTAAGAGACATTTACACAGAAAACAAGTTGCTATTTGATTTCTGTAGGCACTATCATATGAGCTGTGTTGTGATGTAGGTTTAATAAAACCTGAAACCTTTAAAACAAGGAATATGCATAAGCATTTCACAATTTTTTTTCAAACATTGCCCTACCCTAGGATTTTCTGCTGTGTCGTGGATGCGTTTACAAACATAGAATTTCCCATACACATCACACCTAGACCCGAAACAATAGTTTGTGGATCACACAAAGAGTTGTTCCGTGCGGGAATCGAACCAGCCACACGTTGCGCGGCAGCCAGTTTTCCAGCCACTGCGACAATCGTTCTGTCATATTATAAATTATTAGACAAATCAATTAGCTAGATTTTTTTTAGTTTATTTAATAAAACTTACACCCAGGCAGGCAGTTGCTATCCTGGCTCTACAACAATTTCTACAATGTTCCATAGTCTACTTTAGTACTATCAGCTTACAGCGACATCTACCGTTTTTCGTTGCAACTAAATACTTACCGAACTACAAACTTTTTTCAGGTGAAGCATCTATAGAAGAAATTGCCAAACAGGTTGTAAGCTGCAAGGGTCCTAGCGGGACCAACAAGGAGTATGTATACAATTTAGCGGCCGCCATGAGAGAATTAGCACCTGACGTTGAAGATGACCACCTCTTCTCACTGGAAGCAGCTGTTAGGAGACTGGATACAGATACCAAAAAGACTTGAGTGTGATATTTTTTTAGTCTTAATGTAGATTAATTTTGCTGTGAGCTTTGTTTTTAGTATAGTGTGTAGTTTTGTTATATTTATGTATTTTCCTTTCTGATTCCCGAAACAATATGAACCGAACTAACAAAAAAATTAAAGAGTTTTGACATATTCACCTAACTATCCAAGTTACTTACTCGTCTAGTTTCAAGTAACTACCAGAGCTTATGCAACATATATAATTATAATCTTCTCGAACAGTTACCTCAATAAGCCATTATTATTTATTTAATTATGTTTCAAGATATTTATTGAAAAAATACGACTTAGTCACGCGATTTAACGGAGATAAGCTCTTCTTGTTTCAAATCACAACGGGAATTTTGTTGATGAGCAGCGTACCGCGGTCACAGCGATGTTGCCTCTATAACTAGCTTTTGTCAGTTGATTCCCAAGTAAGTAAGTTCTTTTCAATAAATTAAACAATCACGCTAGTTACTAGCCATAAAAAAATGTCTCAAGATACCTAGTTATACAAAAATATTTGGATAAAAATCTATTTTGATCATGTACCTAGTTATTAAATCTTCTTTACATATCTTCATTGTTACAACAAGCATTATCACACAAAATTTTATACTTACATGATTCGAATAAAAAACTTACACATAATCAAGTCATGATTAGGTATTTTTATGAGCTCCCGATGATTTTAAAATGAATTAATTTTTGTTTTGTTTATTTTGTCTGTTAAAGTTTACAAACTAATGTTGTTGTTATTAATCTTATTTTAAACGTAAAAGCGTCTTATAAGCACTCTTAATAATGTACCTATATAATTATTTTTGTATGTTATTAAGCTTATAGCAATTGCCAGTAGTTTCATGTTATATACACACCAGTATTTTCAAGTATGTATAAATTATTATAAGTATCCTACCTTTTTGCTGTTATAAACTAATAGCAAAAAGGTTATTTACTACTGATTAATTTATTAAATAAACTGACATGTGGTTTGTTTGCTTCAGTTAATAGAGCCTATGTAGTTGTATTTTAAATATGTATTCATGATATATGTTTATAATACAAATATATACATATACTTACATTTATTCTTTAAAATCAAGATTCATAGAGGCTTTGTAATAGAAATCTAGCTAGCCTTAGTTGCAAAAAAAAAAACAAAGACTATTAAAAAAATATCTTTGGAGAATACTATGACCACTGTTCTTAGTTTATTGACTAAATAACATAAGGATTTAAATAATTAAATGAATTAATTACAGCAATAGCATATGATTTGTATTTGTGACTATGATATGTTATGTAAATACAGCCTAAGAGAGGAAAATATAAGGCACCAAAGAAAATTCAGAGGAATAATAAAAATACATATAGGTATATAAGCTGTGATGAAAATGATTACATAGAAACGCTATTAATTAATCTTGTGAAAGACCATAGGTACAATATGTTTCATGATATAATTAGAAATATGCGCTACGCAAAAACTTAATGAACTTTGGCATACAAAAGAAGGTATGCAACTAACCAAATGAAATCTTAGTAGGCGTATAGGCTTAAGATTTGATTGACAGAATAAAAAGCGTACACAATTTTAACGCCTTATGTTTTTATTAGCTATACACTCCGTTAGGAAAATTGCTATTCCTAATTTATTACAGTAAACATAAATATTTTTATATTTGATATAAAAAAGCTAAATACCTAATAACATGTAACTTTTTATGCTTCTCTTTTAGTCACAAATAACATTGTATTTTTTGGAAAAATATTGGAAGTAGATTTTAGCCTATTTAAAAGTCTTTCTTCGCATCAATTTTGAGATTAATTTTATTTAAAAACGTTAATTTCAAAATCTTAAGATAGAAATTATAATTCTCGGAGATTTCATTATTAATGATTTATGTGTGCATCATGGATGTATTCGTTTCATATAATATTGACTTGAAATATGCGACTATGCGTGTGGAGCGCTAATGTTTTATTTTTATACATTTATCGCAAGTGAAACTAGCCTTCGTGAGTCGTTGGAATATGATTTATTATAATTAAAAAAAAATAGTGATTTTTAATTTAATATATCTTACTTGAAAGTTTTATTGTAAATCTGTACTTACTAATATTATGAAATTTGCAAGTTTGTATGTAGTGGGTAATCTTTGGAACTGCTCTGGTCGGATTGCCAAAATTCTTTCAGTGATAGATAGCTACAATGTTCCTGAGTGCTATAGGCTATTAACCATCATGCTAGGATAAAATGGAGCCGAGCAGCGGGCGAAACCGTGTGAGAGTAGCTAGTTAAATTATATATATATAATTTAACTTTTATTTATAATATTTTTATTATTTATGTTATTGCTTGATGTTATCGGCAACTTCAGTGCGCGAAAAAGGTAGTTTAAGATACTGTCCAGCCTCCAAGAATAAGAAAATAACATAAAATCCTGTACCATAAAAGACGTGAGAGGAAGACAAACAAACACTTTTGTATTTGTGTTATTATATACATATTACATGTAAGTAAGGATACCTATTACTTACCGTAAACAAAACTATGTATGTATTTTAAATAGTGTATATTTTGCCTGTTCAAAAAAAGATAATTACACAAGTATGTTTGATTTCAAAAGTTGTACATAGTTTTACTTGTACTGTTTAAAAAACATACTGGCTACCTAAAATCATGTTGATAAATAAAAACATATTTTAGAATATATCAAGCAAACTTTATCTTTCTTCATATATGTTTATAACTATTAAATGGTATATATTACGCCCTATATATAGATTTTATCCATTTATTCCACATTTGAAGGAGGATATTCTAAATAAATAATGACTATTTACGCAACAGAAGTTGTTTCCTCATTCTGTAATAATTTACCATTATGTATAAGTAACAATTTATTTGAAGTCAATCTTTCATATAAGTAGTTTTAATGGTATATATTCCTATATGATAACATTTAAAAGTTATGTATTTTTGTAAGTGTATGACTATTGTAATGTCTTGCAAATCGCTCACAACATGTTTCGACAAAAAGTTGTCATTGAATTCGTTTCAGTCACGCAAAATAAAGTACAATGTAACATATAACAATGATAGAATGTCGGTCAAAGTGTGTTTTCTGCATTTGTGTTTAATTTTTCGTACATTCTAGATCAGATTTCATAATAAACTGTTATTTAGTGATTCCCAATGCTACTGGCTGTACTATATGAAGATCATTTTCTTTCTCAATTTAAATTTCAAATCGGTGTTCAGTTCTTTTTTAAATGTCAATTGTTTTTTTTATTATTTTTAGTTTACTGCCTACTAATGGCTAGCTGGCTTTTTATATATTAATACTTTTAAAGTAAATACTTAAGCTCTGTGATATTTATATTGTTATTGATAATAAGTAATTAATTTATAGCTTCTGAAATATAATTTCATGTAAATATATGCATTTTATTTCTATGGAAATGTAAGTGTCAATAAAAACCAGTTAATTTAATAAAAACAGTAAAATTTATTATGAAAATATTTGGTTCGATGGTTCACTAGCTTGTCTCAGTTATATTTACATGGGAATTGTCACAATATTAATATGGAACTAGTTATTAATAGTATTACGATCGTGACATTACAGAATATAAGTACCTACACATTGATAACTACAGCACGTATACGGAAAATTTACATTAAGCGTTAATTAATTAAACAAATAATAATAGTAACAAAATATAAAATGTTAACATCATAACTCTGAATAGTTTCTTAAAATATTATTCACAAAAATATTACTTTGTTATAAAACAGTTTGAATTTGGCAGATAGGGCGTGTCACATGGCACTTAATATTATCAGCTAGTGATAACCCAACCAATGCATTACGATAAAAAACAGAGGAAGACTGGCCTTAATTATATTTTAGATATAAATAAAATCTATCGGTTTATTCCTTTGCGATATAAAGAAATATATCTACAAATCAAAAGATTACAGAGATGACGTCATGCTTCTTTAAATCTTTGGCTGTCCTGCATTATTTGCAGTATATTCAATATCACATCAATGTTACAATATATCGCTACTACTTGTCCTTCTTGCGACCTAGTAACTTGTCCAAGAAACTACGTTTTCTCTTCACTTTCTTCTGCTTATTCGTTTTCTCCAGGCTCTCCGCCTCAACTGTCATTTTCTGTATCAGTGCGGGTATACTTAAGTCTATAACTTTGTCCATAGGTGGCTTCTTGGCTGAATCTCTACTGATTTGCCTCTGAATTGTCGATAGTTCCGGCACCTGATCTTGTTTCTCATCTAATTCAGACTGTGATGTTTTTGTTTCACTCTCTTTCGCAGCAGCGACATCCTTACTTAATGATTCAGGGCCATTTTGAATGACCTCCGCTTTAACTTCTACAGGATTATTATCAGATTTTCCATCAACTGAATTTTCACTTAAGACTGCCGGCGCCACTTCACCGTTTTGTTTCTTTTCAAACACGTCATCATCACCTTTTTCTGTTTTGTCGTCAACTTTTTTATCTCCACTATCAATACTGTCGGCCACACTAGAACTAGATTTAGGAACAGACGCGACCACCCTCGGCTTAGTCGGAGGTAACTCCCAGTCGACAGGCTTCCTCTGTGGCGAATACCTCTTCAGTATTTCCTCAAACAGCTTCTGTTGCTCCAATTTGCTCGGCGTTTCATGGTTTGATAAGCTCAAATGTCGTGTTTTCTCAGGATCACGATTCTCCTTTCCTGCGCTTTCTACATCTGGCGACCCCAGATCCACAATAACTTTCCGTACCGGCGTCGGTGTCAAGTAAGGCTCGGCGAAGGGGAATTTATATAAATTAGGACTTTCAATTTTATATTTTAATGGAGCGGCACTGTTAGCCGGCATCGATGCCCGTGTTCCAGAGCGGTTGAACGGGCTGGTACTACCTGGTTCGTGTAGATTGGAGGTCATGAAGTCTCGCCGGAGTTTGGAGAGGCGCCGCGTTCTCTCCGTCATGGTGTGTCTGTACTCCACATCATCGCTTTGGTTCAGTTCCGATGTGAAGTTGTCGGAGTACTTCCGCGGTCGGAAGTCGAACACTCGTTCTTCGGTGCGTGACTCCCTCATGCTGGAGTAGCCGGGCGTGTTCCGCTTGAAGTTGGCGGTGGTCTTGCCGTGGTTGGAGGTGACGATGGGCTCGACGTCGCGGTACGAGGCGGGCACGGGCGACGCGGGCGGCAGGAACACCGTGTCGTGCTTACCGAACACTTCGCGTCGCTGACTGAACTGCTCGTTGCCGATCATTTCCCGCGACTTCACACTCATGGTAGGCGATTTAGCTGCCATTTCCGTTCAATTACAAACCGCAACACTTTGTTATTGATACTATTTTCCTGTAAACACTGTATTTCTATTTTTGTACGACGCACATTATGACTTCACCGGTAACATCGCGCCTATAACAGTACACGGCTATATGTTAAATTGGACAATAAAGGTGGCACGGTCGTCCGTATAAGGCGAGCCGTTCGCGATATGTGTCGAGTGATCAATAGAGTGGATGCGATAAGATACGAGCGTCGTGTAGCGCGCCACTTTAGCTATTTCTTTATCTTTCAGCAGTCCAAACAGTTGAGTAAATATAACCGACTGAACACAATCGTGTACGTAATTAATAGCGAACCGAGTGAAAGCGCGCAAAGCGGCGACCGATCGCCGACCGCTTCATTATATAATGAATATTAAAACAAATGTCCCGAATTCATTACAAACACTTTGCACTGTTATTTATAAAAGTCATTTGGAGGCACTTTGTTAATTAATGTCAATATTTACTGGAGAACTGGCCTTTATCACTAATAATTCACAGTCATTAGATAATTGGTAACTGAATAGAAACGCGGTTCCCGTAAACAACAAGATTATTGTTGCAACAATATCTTATAGATAACACAGATTATACGCGGCGCGAGCACCGTCCGGGATTGTGGCAAGTATTGCACTCGGGTAGAGACCAGAATCGAATGCACTCCGACCAATCTGTTCACCTACTCATACGAGTTTTGTTGGAAGAACCGTTAGAACGAAAATTGTTCAAGCTGTTAGCGTTTGCGGTGAGAAATATTTGTGTGATACAATGGATACGGAACACAATTCAAGTCTGACTCACTTTTTACCACATCTCGAATACTTTTAATGTTTCTCGTATTCACAATAGGAAAATTTGCCGACATCGCTTGTGGTTATCGCTAAATATCTTTGGTAGATACTCAATTATCGAATAATCTTATCCTCGAAGAAAAACTTCGCGTAATCCGTCCGTACGTTGGGAGTGACAGAAAAGAATAAACGTTATGGTTGAATTAATTTATCCCTTCACTTTTGACGGGGGTTAAATATAGCAGTAGGGCTAAAATTAGATTTGTTAGAGGGATATAAGTATCTAACTGGATAGCTCTGTAAGGTGAGGTATTTAAAGATCAGGATTCAAGACTTCCGGGAGCTCGTTCCATAGATTGCATGCTTCTTGCTTATGACAATCTGTACATAGTTATGTTAGTAGCGTCGCCCCTTAAATAACACTTTGCGGGGATCTTCAAACAAATAGACACAAACGTCCATATCTAATTTTATGATTGAAATGTTCTTGGCTTAATAAGCGTTACTTTGTTACTTCGCTGAGACTCTGATTGGCAGGAATTGTATGGAATAAAATTGATAAGTAGGTACCTAAGTTATAATGAATACTGTACGTATATTTCCTGAACCTATAAAATAATATTATGGTTAGTAAATATGAGTAACATATAAAAATATATATAGGAAACTACTCTATTACGTGTAGGTGTATCGCTTTTGTTACTAGGTAGTATAGAATCCAATGATAAAACCTACAGACTAGGTAACAACAGATAATACACAATTACTCAAGCCTTTTTAAAACAAGGTTGATTTACTCACACATCCATTAATGTTTGTGTTGTAATACAGGTAGAGTACTTTACTTATGCGTTTCACACCCGCACATCAAGCTGAACCTAACAATGAAATTTTTTCAGTTGATTTTTAACTTTATTTATTAAACGTTAAAGTTGAAATTGTTAATGTTTTTCTTCAGTTTTGTGGTGTCTATTCTACCCACTTACTTACCTAAATCTGTTTTCTTGTAACGAACAAGGAATGATGAAAACATTTTCGCAATCAGAGTTAACATGCTCATAATGTTTATTTGCTCTAGTAGCCGAGCCCCGCCATTTTAATGGAATTTTTCCACTGTGAAACGGGTATTTATTTAGGTAAATATTTCGACTTGTGTTCCTAAATAACATAAGATATTTGATGAACTACATTTAAATTGAAAGGTAAGTTCCTTCTATAGGTTCTGGAAACGTCTGGAAGATATAATATCAAATTGACTCATCAATATACTAACGATGTCTTAATTATTGCTTATAATATTTATGGCTGCTTCTGATAGGTAGGTAAGAAGACATTTACTTCGGTACTTACCGAATATTTATTTATTTATTTATTTATACCTACACTTTATACAAAACATGTAAAGGTGGACTTAATGCCTTAGGCATTGTCTAACAGTCGACCTTTGAGTGATTTAGAGATGAGAGTGGCAGAATAAATAACAAAATTTTATCAATTTACATTACTTACATACCATATATAAAACATACAACGAAACAAAAAAAAATTGTCTCGAATAGTCTCACGGCACAATAGATAGATGCCTTTCGCTCATGCTTAAATTAACCATGTAACTATAAGTACCTACCTACTACTAAAATCGGTGATTAACTCCGATAAGATCGTCTATATATTTTTAAAGTTCTATTATTTGCATATAATAACATGTAAGATAAACAAGCAAAACAATGCTTATTCCGTTCTAAAATTACAACGAAATCCTCGAATTTCTGTGACCCAAATTCATTATCATTTTATGGTGGTTTAAACATACCTATAGGTAACTATCGATATTTTAACTCTTTATTACGGTTGAATTAAATAATATGTACAAAAAAATTTTGCTTATTTAGCACTTAATAAAACTTAATAATTTGTTTGTTTGTTCATGACTATGGCGATATAGGCATAAAACTCCTTAGTCCCATGAGGATAGCAGCAATTAATAATTATAGATCACTAAGTAACGTACGATGTACTATCATTGAGACAGACAAAAAACCCAAGTCCATACCTACCATTCCACATAACTATTCTTCTATGAGATATTCTCTTGGACCTATAGGTAGTTACTACAAAGATCATAGAAACTTGCACATTTTCCTCTCATTATTTCAATTTACTGAACAGTAATGAGCACTACGCAATTGTTTAAACGATAATAATAATTATAAAAGGACAAGTTCCGAAGGCTACATAACGAATATGACCTATAGGTGCATATCTCTCAATGATAACCTAATTTGTGCTTAATTCTTATCGATATAAAGAAGGATATCATCTGTTATGTTTTGTATGAACGAAGTAGGTGGTATAGGTACCTATGAAAATACACCTGTGCAGTTTTATATTCAGAAAGTAGGTGAACAGGTTAACGGTTGGTTGACCTTATGGTAATTAATTGTCGACGGCAAACAAGACTGGCTACATACGGGTTTAGTGTCATCAAAGACTTTCGCTCGTTCATAGACATTAGACATTTGTAAAATTATTCATACAGTATGTTTAGTGGGATGTTATGAACTGCGTGAGCGCAAGAATGATTCCTAAAGTCATCGTCAACCGGCCGTGAAATTCCGATGTTGAACTTTGTGCCTCATTTACATAAGAACACAGGTGGATTTAGGCCAGCGACCGCCCATCTCAGAGCCATTGCTAAATTTATTTATGAGGTCTTGTTAGTAGGTACCTAGTTGGCGCTACCAATCTTGCTAATCCTGTGGTGTCTCTCCGTAACCTGGCACTTGTCTGAATTGCATTAGGAAAAATATGGCTCTGTATTAAGCTTTTTCCGTTATGTATAGGTACATCTGACTTTTTTTGTTGGTTGTAATATAATCAGGCGATTTAGTTCTCCCGCCCGAGGTTGGAATCTTTGCCTAATAATTGCGGAATTATGGCACACGTCTTACCCTCGGAGAGATTAGGTGTGGTAGCAAATATCTTCACTATCTAAAATGGTCTACCCTTTATGAAAAGTTTGAAGCGTATATCTGCCTATGCTTGAAAATCGTAACATAAAAACGGCAGAATAAGTCTGATGAAACGCATTACAAAACGAATCCGACATTGATAAAAGAATAGTGGAAACGCCAGAGGGCCAGATCCCGCGGATATCCGAAAATATACGCACAAGCATTTTAAATTTAGATATGTGATAGATATTTTCTTTAGCGATGGCATTCTCAGTATTTGTTAGTTAAAGCGGTCACTACAAAACTATTTGTTTGTACATAAAAACAGCATTGTTTTGTTCTAATGAAGCGTGATTAGTGTAGGAACGGTGTTTTGTTAGTTAACAAAGATGTTATTAAACATTATGCTAATGAATCCCTGAACAAGATTAGAAACGACTAGACGGTTAATTGCAAGTAGGTACGTACGTACTTTCGAGCACATTTATAGAACATGGGTACATTGTAACTTGCACTTAATTAACAGTAATGTAGAGTCATTAATTTATTACAAATCTTTTAGTTGTTTACAGACAGAATTGAGTACTGGTTTTGGTTAACTACCTAGTAGTTTCTGTGCCATCTAAGTAGGTATATGTTATCCTATATATAGTGATTTGGGACGAGACTTCATACCCTAATAGCATATAGGTAGATAGTAGCTACCTACCTTTATAAAAATATACTGCTCAATTAAGGTTTCCACGTATGAATATCTACATCCAACCTCAGTTCTGCATTGCAGCTTACTACTTTAGTCACGTATTAATCAATCTAATCACAAATACGAATGCAATCATATCAGTACGTATTAATATACTTTCTACATAATCGCACTAGTTCCCAAAGAAATATGTGTCAATGTTCATTACTGTTGATAGACAGATACCTATTATGCTGTTTCTTCACGATTTTATTAGCTTCTCTTTATTTGTGCAATACTTCGTACTACGCAAAGGCATGTTTACTGAACCAGCTGGTATGTACAGATGCCAGCAGGTCAACCTACGTCATATGTTTAAATAAGATTTTCGACTTTATAACAGAGTAATAAAGTTGAAAGTCTTATAAAGGGCTTTTATGTAAGGGGTACGTTTATTTGCTGGCGCCTTTACCTACAGGGCCGAACTATTATGCATTAATTCAGAGAAACGGAATCAACGAACCCAACCTTGACGTTATTCTTTGGTAACTTTTGTTGCTGTTACAACCAAAATGCGAAGGCCAGGAAATTAACAATGCGGTGATCTCATTCATGTTTCATTTGCATACAGATTTGGGGATTGGCCTCAACATTAGTGGCCATTATGGCTGGCTGGTGACGCCTACGTCCAGATATTCTGCGGTCTACCGACTAAGCTGAGATTGTATGTAAGAACGTGCAAGAAGGTC